AAAAAAAAAAAAAAAAAAATTAAATGTATGGCTCGCATGGCTCGCACGACTTGCACATTGGCTCGCATGACTCGCTGACTCGCAATTTGGCACTACTCATGAGCAATTGTGATACTCATACTGTAAACACTTGAAACCTATATTGTGAGCACTTTCATTCAAAGGACAAACACCGGTATTAGAAAAGAGTTAAGCAACGTAAATAATAAAAGATACTTATAGACACAATAACAGGAAGTTTACGATGTGATAACAATAAGTAGTATGCATCAAAATGGCCAGTTAAGTATTGTTAGTCTATTACTATTTTAATTCACATGGATGGATTCACCAATGCAGGGCTAAACAACAGGCTGATTGCATTCCATGTTGGCATTGGCTGTCCTTTCATTTTCCTCCCTTGGCACAATACGATAAATTTGTTATATTAAAAATTTCCAAATTTTTACTGCAGAATTAATTTCTTTCAAGAAAATAAGTTTCTTCAAAATGCAGTTGCAAGTGCCCCATTTTTATACCAGTTTTACACCAGTGTTCTTATAATAGGGAAGTTGGAAGCCTATAATCCTATAATTATATGAGTATAATACCAAGAATGTTCATTCAGAATTTAACAAAGTGAGCCAATACAAGGCATAGCCTTTAGCAGATTATTGTAAATAAAGTTGCAAATGGATTTTGAGTTGTAAAATCATACACATTTTATGTTATGGATCAGGTACGGATCTTCCCGCTAAGCCCCACCCATTTGAAATTGTTCGCAAGGTGTGAACTTTTAAACTTGAATTCTAGTGGGACAAGCACATTTTCCTGCAGCTGTTATTTAATTTTCTGTACACTCTGAAAATATCCATTAAAGATTAATTCATAAATCATTGCAAACATAATTTGTATGAATGTTGTAGATGTGACCAGGGAGTTGATGTGACCTGATCTTTGTGACTATGAAAAAGTATATTATCGATCCAAACACATACCATAAAAAAACAAACTAAAATGTCTTTATATACTTAACAGTTCAGTCCCAAACATTTCATTGTTTTTGGCTTACTTCAATCTGAGCTGGTAAACTAAGCTTTGCATTTACATCACTATTGACAAAAGGTTGCTTAACTACCAAAGGTCAAAGAGTAGATAAGAAGATAATGTATTATTGGTGAAGTCTCAAAAACACTACCTGCACAAACCCTACATATTACTAACTAGTATAGAAATGCCTAATTATACACAGTATCCTGTAAAATGTTAATTCAGATGAAATTTGCTCTAAAAATATAAGAATACTAAAATATAGAAAATATATATATTGATCACATTTTACTTGGCTGCATGGCCGGAGTTTTAGAATCATGAGTACCGTATAATGTATTTAAAGCTACAGTACGCCCTTTCAATCAACATTCAATGTTTCATACATCAAACAAACTACTCTAATGTGGAGTATGGAAGCAAATAGAACTCTCCAGTTGTCATAGTGTGATAAGACAATGCAAATGTATCTAACGCATTAATCATGATGACTTGCAGTTTTGCAGATAATTAATTAGTGACTTGGGAAATGGTAAAAATTTCCTGTTCAGAATGGGCATTTCTTAAAATAATTTGATAAACTTGGATATTTGAATGGGTACTTGTTTGTATAGGCTAAGCAAAATCATAAATTTTTCATTTTCCATTTGCTTATAGGACCTTAATAAGTTGTTTTGGGGAGACTTTTTTTTGTTGCAGTCCCTAAAGTAGAAACAACTTTTTAATCAGAAAATCTTAGAATTATGAGATTTCCTACAATACAATGACTTCCTCAAACAAAACAAAAAAACATAGCGGATTTTATCAGAGAAAAATGGTTTCACATCAATAGCCACATCATAAATAATAAAGCTGTACCATCATTGTCGGGAACTGTACAAGGACATAATTTGTGTGCCACAACAAAAGGGCAAGTTCAAGCTAGTGCAGCAGACGTAGCCAGAGAAACGTGTGCAACAATTCAGATTTTAAAAATTATTGTAATATAAATTGAATTACAAGACCAAGGAAAATTGCAGAAAGTATAACAAAGTCTTTAACTCTAAACTCTGACCTTTATAGTAAACGTTCTAATAAAAATTCATTCTATTTGTGAGAGTCTCTTCCGTCATGAAGAAATAAATTCATGCTTGCACGCCCCAGCTTCAATCAAACGTTTGTTCCAAATTCCATCTTATAATAATTTAATAATTGATGGAATGTAAAATGGTAGATTACTGAATAACTGCAATTTTTTGTTTAAATTATGATGCATTTATTCTATCAAACACAGTGTGTTGAACAAATTTCTGTTTCATTTTATACACGATAAATATATTTGGTAGTTGCATTCAATCAAGCATATGAGAGAGACTGTTGTATTATTATGCTAAAAAAAAAAAGAACAACTCAGAATAGACTAGCTACAAAAGGCTACCCCATTGTTTGGAATAGCCCATGCCACCCCATACAAATAGTTGAAAACAGGCTCTTGTCTGAAGATAATTTCTATTTACCTACTGTAATTGCAGAACCTAGAAACCACGTTTGGTCAAAGTTTGGACACCAGGAAAATGTTCTAGGAAAATACACATTCTCCTACATGTATACTGTAACTTCCTTTTGTATTTCCTATTCAGGTACCATATGCAAATGCCATATAATTACTATTATATCAGCAAATATTAGGTGCTGTACCAGTACATTCTTGATTCTATATTGTTTTGCAATTAAACTTCTAAAACCAATACCATAAGTTCCAAGTCAAAACACTTTAAAAAATAATAATGATTGGAAAATATTCAACCCAAGAAACAAGAGCAGTCACTTCAGAGTGACACTTTTGAGCCACAGTCTGTGTCAAACATAATAAGGAGTACTTGAATAATTGTTCAGGATTTATTAACTAGTGGTGCCACAAGCAGAGTATTGTAGAGCTGGTCTCTGATGTCATGCAGATCAACACAATTTGTAGGGAAAAAAAATTACACTAAATATAAAATTGATTTAACAAGCTCTTCAATTTCACTCCCTGCCTCTTCCAAGGATTCTGGGCACATCCAGGCTCTCGTCAACTTACCCTCCTGTTGTGACATCATCACCTCCCCGCCCCCACCCCCCTTGGGCAAATCCTCAGTCATGCCAACACTGAAACAATTTGAAAAAAATTGAGATTTTATTGCCATTTTGGTAGAATAAAAAAGCATGGAAAGTAATTATTCCCTTTCCTAGTTAAGTATTTAGGGGGTGTTTTAATATTACAAAAGGTTGGAAAGTCAACCATATTCACACAGGGGTGTAGTGAGGGTCTGTTGAGAGGGAACAGGGAGCCCATCAAGAGAGAGCTCCCTGCCCCTCCCGTCAAGGAAAATAGCATAACTTGGCAGGGCAAAAAAAAAATAAAGTAATAATACAGTACACTAATCCTTTGAAAACCGTATACTGTAATTGTCAGTTCCCGTGGCTTCGCCTGGGCCCACTGATGACTTCTAAGAGACTGAGACTCCAAATCCTGGCACGACTCTGTATTCAGATTCTGAGAGGCAATGACATGGCCAACTGGCTAAGCTAGGCTTAGGGCCCAGGCCCAGGGTGCCAACTACACGTGCGACACCACCTCGATCAACTCCTTGCTCCTTGCTTTTAGTAGGCTAGCTATATGAGAGTAAACACTTACCACCGCCACTTTTATAACAAAGATATGGGAATCGCCATACATTCCCCAGCCCAACTGCATATCCAACACAAGAGAGAACGAACTGGGCCTTCCTTCCCCATGTTTCTCTCGGTACTCTAACAACACCCTTCCCATCCATTTCTGGTTTGTCTAAAGCAGCACTGATGGAGTTCGTAACCACCACCACCTCTGTGTTTTGTTGTTTCACGCTTGGCGCGTTGCTTTCTTGATGACCTCCCATCGTTTCCTAATAATACAGGAAGGGCTGGTTCTTACTATTTTTCTATTTCAGTTTAATTTGAGCTTAATAAAATCTCAGGTAATAATAAAGGTGGACTTCTGATTGGGACACGAATCTAGGGGTTTAATGTTGATTTTGTAATCACCAAGTAAATATTTAGCCCTAATGTTCAAATAAATTTAAACGAAAAATTCAGACTGTTCCATTTTTACCAAGTGGTATTCCCTGCGATCCATTTACCACTTAAAACATAATTTAATTTTCAATATATTATATTAATACATGTTTTATTAATTCATTTTATAATGTTAATTATTGATTTTGAAGTTATTATTTATTTCAGTCAGTAATAAATGGGCCGTAAGCAAACGCCAACTTTTCTGTCAAGATGGATGCGGTACCTTACCACCAGTGATTTGGAATAGGCACAAGCGTGTAATATGATGACTTGCAAAACAGTACAGTACTAATATTTATAACATACCAATAAGTAGATATTAATCGATCTGGTATTGGCCGTATTTTGCCGTATAGGCCTACTTCAAAGTATCAAATCTAACAGATTTATAAAATAATAATATCTAATAGACCTCAAATATAATAAGATAAAAAATGTTATTTTGAACAGTAAATTGTTGCATGTAAAGAAAGGTGTGCAAGAGATGGTGTTGTAATTATTATGCATTATAATTTATGTCTGATAATAAATTTAGTCACTGAAACAGATCAGTTACTGGCAGCCATTTACTAGACAATCTAGTTTGCATATTCCTTCTCATGATTTTTTAATTTTATATGTGTGTATACATATTATTTGACAGAAATGAGTTATCTATAAAAAATGTTTCTAATTGAGGCTTTAGGAGAAACGTGTTGTTGCCCATTCCTTAGATATACCTTCAGTCTTACCATTCATTTCTTTTCCTTTTCTCCCAAGTCAGGTTAAGTTTATTTTTTCTTGTTTTTTCTCTTTACTATTCTTCAAATTCTGTCATTAATTTTCTTCTTTTCCTTTTTCCTTTCTCATTATATTTTACTCTTTTTACTTTACTTTGTTTTCCTTTACTTTTTTCTTCTTTTTCTTTCTTTCTTTCTTTCAACTCACTTTTTCTTTCTTTCTTTGTTTATTTTTTCTTCATTTAATTTTCTTTATTTTTCGTTTCTTTTTTTGCTTCTTTTCTTTTGTCATCTTTTACCTTTCCTATCGTTTTCATTCTTTTCTTTCAATATACCATATTTTTCCTTTTCTTTTTCTTTCATTTCATTTTTCCTTCCTTTCTTTTTTTTTCATTTATTTATTTTTGTTTCTTTTTACTTTATCAAATTTTACCTTTCCTTTCGTTATCATTCTTTTCTTTCCATATACTATTTTCTTTCATTTCTTTTTTCCTTTCCTTTGTTTCTTTTATTTAATTTTTCCTTTATTCTCTTTCTATTTTCTGTCTTTCTTGCCTTCTTTTTTCATCTTTTCTGAGCCCAAAATCTTCCTCACTTGACCATAAGTTGTACCCCCTTAGGACCTCGATTGTTGCGAATTTTGGGAATTTGAAGAAATAATCTGGAAAGGATAAGATATAGATTTTTTAAAATTTAAAATCTGAGGGCGGAGGGAGTGAAAGAGGCCCCTTTAGTGCCTTTTAAAAATCATTTGTCCAAGTCCAACATATCATTTTTATCCCTTTGGAGCCTGGTTTTAAAACATGAACCTCTGTAGGACAAGCAAAAATCCATAAAAAAAAAAGGGGGGGGGGGATTTTATTGCACCATGATAGGAGGGTATATATTAACCTGATGTATATTTAAGATTTAATGAGCTTTTCTGCAGCAAGATTGAGGAATGGTATTACTTCCCTTCATTTATTTTTGCATTGCTCATGTACAAAATATAATAAAATCTATAAAAAAAAAACACATTTTCTTTCTATTTATTATTTTCATATGAAAGCAAATAAATTGATTCTTGTGTTGAATTGTCAGGTTTATAAACTTACAGCTCAACAATACAGTCGTTATTTAAACAAAGACAAATGGCCATTCTCTTGGATGGATCAAAGTTTTCACTGCTTTTGTTTTTAAAAAAATCAATGTAAATTAGGCAGTTTTTATAGAAATGATTATTGTTATTTTTTATGTAATATACATTTTGGTAAGAATAAATAAATATTTTTATGGTTTTGTTTTCTTACACGATTTGTTTTATTTTCAAATTTAAAACGAATAATTGATTTTACTACTGAATTTCAAGTTTTTATAATTCAACAGTTGCTAAGTGAAGAGTTTACAATCAGCAAACATTTCTTTGTTCAGCAAAGATATTTCCTTTAATAGATCTATTTTTTCTATTAAGTTTAATTTGAGTACAATACAATTAATGATTAAATTGTTATTAAAAGTATTCCCATGCCAAATTTGCCTTACTTTTTAGGATGAATATAAATCTATGGAAATATTCAGTATTCAGAGTGAATATCACTATAAAAATTGGGACTTCCTAGAGAAATCTTAAGAAGGAAGAAAGAAATAAAAGATATATCGGTTAACATTATTTAAAGTAACTATAGCATTCAATACAAAAACATTGGTTACCAGTACCTGTGTAGCTAAAATAGGTGCAGAGAGAAAATAATGAAATTTCCAACAACAAAATCTGGTTATCAATTTTTAATATATACAAACTATATATTTGTGTCATGATTAACAAAAAATTGTAGTTTCTTAAAACTAATCCACAGCTTAAATATAACATCTTTCTACAGAATTATATACAAATTAAAAAATATCAAACATGTGCCTCTATATACATTTGGCCTGTTAATCGACGCACCTTTATATTTTAAGCTCTGTCCTGATTTTCAAATTTATTTGACCAAAGTTGTATGCCCATATATAGTCATAATGTGCCTATATATGTGGCAAAGACAAGCCAAACCAGTCACTCGTCGCAAAAATCGATTTTGAGTTATTAATACAGTGTTAGAGAGTAAAATAATAGCTATAAAATGGTAACAAAATCATTCAAATCCGACATTTCCTTATGAAGTTACAAGCGTTTAACCACACAGCTGTTTAAAGAACACTATATGAGAAATTAACCTTCAAAGTTTATGATTTCAGGCATTTCTCATGCAGAAACTATCTTTAAATCCTTAAAAAATATTGTTTTCACATTGAAAATGGGGAAAACAACAGCATAGAATGATGTGTAGATATATAAAGGGTAGTTTAGTGCAATAAAATAGATTTTTTTAAATTTGACATTCCAACATGTTTTGGCCATTTTCTCTGAAACACGATTTGCAACGAGTGACTGGCTTGGCTTGTCTTTGCCACATATGGTCATGATGTGATGTCATCTTGACCATATTTAGGCATGTCACATGTTTTTGTCAAATAAAAATTGATAGGGCTTTAATAATTATAGCGCATTACAATATAGGAGTCTCACAAGGTAATAAGTTGATATTAAAATCAATTTAGAGCTCATACTTAAAATTAAAAGCGTTTGGCTGAGAGGTAATGTTCCTACTTGTGGCGCTGTAGACCCTAGTTCAAACCCGGCCAGCGTCAGCCTTTAATTAGGGTCGGATTGCTCTGATCTTCAAGTAACACTCACATGAGAGTTAGACGGATAAAAGACAATGTATCCATTATATGTCGATACTGCCGCTGCACTGTCACTGCTGCGTGTCCCCCGGGGCCCAGCCTAAAGTTCCAATTTCAAATATTTGAATTTTTAAAATTTTACACTCTGTGTTTGGTTGTAATGGAGTACATTTATTTATCCCCTACATTATATATTTACAGACTGACAGCTAGAGTGTACTTTGCAGTTTACACAACACTCTCAGACCATCATGTAACACTGCGGGCTACAGTATATTTACACACAGCATATTCTACTGGTTCTCAATTCATTTTGCATATTTATATGTCCCTGCAAACCAACATATATCAACAATTCAAAAATTTTGTTCAATCATATTATAATGATTTGCTATATATAATATACTATTGCATATATTGCATGAATGCCAGTTTGAGCAGATGCCAGTTAGAGCAGATGCCAGTTCAAGCGGATGCGTTTAGTGCTAACTGTAACAAGGGCTAATTTATCAAAAAAAAAAATTACGAGATTGGGGTGAGGGGGTGCTAGCTCACAAAATCAGATGACATGAGGTGAATTGTAACTATGTGAGCGTGATTTTTTTTGCTGGTGCGTTTGCACCCCTAGATATACACCCATCTGCCAAATATGTGTAAGTATAAACAACCTATCATCAACCCTAAAAACTTATAGATCCGAAGAGGCCCAGGCGAAAAAATATCAAATTAAATATTGGGTAAAAATAGAAAATTTAGTTAATGTTCGCAAAACTGGATCCTTTTTCACTGAAAATGGCATCAACTCAAGTAGCATTCACTCAAAGTGGTATCCGCTCATAATGACTGGTTTTGTAATGCATAAGCTGCTTTTATGCACTTAACATTATTAGCAACATCAACCAGCTCAAACATGAAACAAACTCTCAGCTCCTTGGGGAGCAACATTTCATAAGCAGTTACAATCAGTAATTGGTATTGGATCCTCCCAGAGACACATTTATACCACTTGGTGGAGAGAGAGATTGTGATCTGAATAATGTGTCTTGCCCAAGCACACAAGTTAATTGCACATGGAGAGACTTGAAGCCCTGTCTTCAGCGTTTAAAGTCTGATTAACAGACATATCACCAACAAGGAAGACGTACACAAAATGCAGACTGCTTTATTAAGTCATAAGTTTTGTGTTTGACTCACACTGGCTCTTTTTCCCCTGCTCTGCCTGCCAAAATATTATTGAAGTATATAGTTTGTGTATGTAAGGACTGGAGAAGAATGAAATGATCATGGCTATTGGAATTGCCTCATTTGAAGGAGTGGAATGTTCCGAGATGCTATAAAGGTAGGCTTAGCTACTGCCTGTGTTTTCAGATGTGATTGACAAAGTGTATGTTATGGCAGCATACAGACAAATTGACAAAGAAGCACTGTATATGCTGAATGCTCACTAGTCCTCGCCCAAAGTCGTTAACTATGTTCAGGTGGGCATCCATATAAGACAAGAACTTACAGCAGCAACCATGGGAGTTCAGTTTGCAATAGTGGTAGAAGAAAGGCAACATGGCATTGATGAGATTGTGTACTGGACCAATAGTCAGATGTTACAATATAGAACAAGGCCAGATATTTTAGAGCATTCAGTGCCAATTGGGTGTCAGTAATACTGGAAGCATCAATGCAACTGTAACACACCTTTAGACAATGCATTACCGGTACCACCGATTAATGATTATTGAGAAAGACTTCTACCATTGTACATTGAAAAATGGCATGCGATTGGCAGCCTGCAATTGGCATACGTCTTACATCCAGGAAGTTTTGGGCTACTACTGTATGTGAAGTTGGGGATGGCTTGGTAGATGAATCGCTTGGTTGTCATCCGTTCAGGTCACTTTTTTACTTGCCATTGTTGTATACGTCTAGGCATCTTTTGGACTCACCAGGATATGCTACCTGGGAGGATGAGTTTGTACTTTAATGATATGGATGGTTATTTGAGACTTACTGTATATATGAACAGCAGCATTGCTGAGCGCACGTGAAGCTTCCCTGTGCACTCTTGGATTCACTGCTGATGAATGCACATCGCCCTATTTGCACAGAACGTCATGTGCCGAAGGCAATATTACAGACTTCAGTAGGAGCTAAAGACCTATTAGCCCAACTGTACCTAGCTACCTAATTCAAGGATATTGTAGATATCGTCCAAGCTTATGAATGTCCAAAGCCTAGCCTGATTGTACAAAGGTACAAATTTAATAGTAGATCGCAAAAGCTGAATGCAACAATAGCTCAATTTGTAGCCAACGTGCGATGCATAGCAGAATATTGTGATTTCGGCACAAGCCTAGATGGCATGTTGAGAGATACAGTAGGTTGAGATGTGGAATTAGAGATGTATGTATGCAGAGACGCCTCCTTAGTCAGAAGGCTCTTAAATTCATAAGGCCTATGATTTTGCACAGGCAATGCAGACAGCAGTCAAACAAGCAGAGGATTTACACGCGTGTTTAAATTTGTGAACAGCACAGCAAAAAAAGGTATAAGCTCAGAGGTAAAATGCATTTCACAAAAGAATTTGATGTATATGTAGCTGATGATGAAACTTACACACTTTTCTCTTTATCAAATAAATCAGTAGACCCCACACTATTTCGCTGGAAAGAGCGGGAGTGAAAGTATCGGTGGAAATAGACACAGGTGCAGCTGTGTCATTGGAAAAATTAGCTGGAAATTAAAAAGTCAAATGTATATTTTTAAAATTTATACTGGAGAAAAGATATGGGTGCGTGTGTAAAGAGGGAAAAGCTAACTTACCATTAGTGATTGTTCATGGAGAGGAACAAGCCTTATTTTTCGTAATTGGATGCAACACAACTTAACTGGTGTAATATTAACAAAATAGGACCAGGCATATCTGCTACAGATTTGAATAAATACCCAGATGTAATTTGTGAGGGACTTAAAAGGGTTGAAGCGAAAATATTCCTTGCGGATGATCCAATCTCAAAATTTTGTAAGTTCAGGGCAGTAACATTTAGAATTTAAGAGAAAGTCAAAGCTGAATTGTCAATGCCTACAAGATTTGGGTATTATTACTTCTGTTGATCTGTCTGATTGGGCTGCACCAATTGTTCCAGACTAACTGTAGTAAAATCTAGTGGATCGATAAGAATCTATGGAGACTATAAGTTAAGAATCAATAAGTCAGCTAAAAATTAGACAGAGGACATGGCCAGTTATTTATTTATTTGGACATACACTTTTCAAACCGTGGCACATTTTGAAAGAACACAGGTGTGTCCTTACAAAGTTATAAACTTATAAACAATTGATATAAGTTTTAGTGTGTGGAAAGAGGGTCTCTTATACACATCTAGATGTGTATAAGAGACAGGTTGTATACGTCTAGGCATCTTTTGGACTCACCAGGATATGCTACCTGGGAGGATGAGTTTGTACTTTAATGATATGGATGGTTATTTGAGACTTACTGTATATATGAACAGCAGCATTGCTGAGCGTCCTTACAAAGTTATAAACAATTGATATTAGTTGTAGCAAGTGAAAAGAAACTGAGGACATGACAGTACACCTACCCATTCACATACTGTAAATTCAAATCAAATAGCAATGTAGAAACTAAGGAAAACAATCAATTAAATGAATACCTAAAAAAAAAAATAATAATAATAATAATAAAAGTAAAAATAAGCATAGTTATGGCATGGAATTTATAATTTCATTTCGCAGTTTCCATGCCCTTTTAATGTACCTTTTGCAGAATCCATCAATAAAACCTTCACATCCACTGATGATTGATAGAGTTCAACATCCCAAAATATATTCAATTTTAGTATTTTCATCTGCATTATGGAATTCGTAATACAGTTCATAGTTGCCAGTTTGGACTAAATCTTTGTTTAGGTTACATTTCATCAATGCAAATTTCATTTAGAGCTGGACAGCTGAAAATAAAATGGTGGATATCCTAATCAGAATTAAGGTTACATTATTTACATTTCTTATTATCATCAGAATTCCATTTTGAAGTTCTGTTGTTTAATGGTAAGGTTAATTTTTAAGATCAGGTTGTAACACCCGAAAATGAAACCCATTCTTTATGAGTAGAAAGTGTAAAGAGAGGCTGTCGCCTTCTGCATTCCAAACTACTGATATTGGTCATAATGAGTAGAAAGAAAATGAGGACATGGACAGTTTATTTAATTATTTGGACATACACTTATCAAACATTGGCACACATTGAAAGTACAAAGGTGCATCCTTATAAAGTTACCAAATAAAAATCCAAAGATGTAAAACATCAACAAAGTTACAAAAGAGAGTACAAGAGCACAGGTATTAGTAAGTTACCTGTCACAAGCAGTTCCAGCTAGTAATCATTTTTTATTTTTCTAATTATGATTCTAACATCTTTTCTGATGTGTTTTACATATTTAATAGAAGGCCCCTGAATATCAGCTGGCCTTCTTGGTCCAGTTGGAAGGATTACCCTCTATAAATAAAGTTTGAATATAGAATGAAGTAACAAATGGCTCCTCTTCTATTGATTGAAAGATTGTTGGCCGATAACAAATTATAATAGGATGGGATTTGAGTTGGGTCTTTTGAAACCAAACAAGAGAGGATTGTACTCAAGAGGTATGGACTTGCATTTAAGTGTCTCATGACCAGAGAGATATTCAACTGGAAATAAACAAAGTATGGACACTGACGTTTTGTTGCCAGAAGAGGTAAGATTTCATCAACAACAGCTGAAAATGAAACTCATTTTTTATGAGTAGAAAGAGCAAAGAGAGGCTGCAGCCTCCTGTGCCATACCTGCTAGGTTGTACCAACACACAATGAATGCTTCTCGCATTTTGGCAGAGTTTCAATCAACAAATTAGACAATCGACAAAGGAGTAGTTTGCCTTTCTTGTGGGAAGATTTTACAGTCAGAAGCAGTTTGGCGCAGTGGGAACGGTTTGGTTTCCGAAACCTGAAGTCGACGTTTCAATCCCTTGCAGTGCATTTCGCTTGTGTCCTTGAGCAAGGCACTTTATCTACATTGCTTCTCTCCACCAAGGAGTATAAATGGGTACCTGGTGGGGTTGCTGATTACCAGCAGCAACACTTAAAGCATGTTGATCCAATGACCAGGGGAAAAGAAATGCGCTTTATAACCACAAGGAAAAGGCGCATTATAAATGCCCGTACCAGTACAGGTGTAAACAGTGCTTTTCTTTTTTTCTCAGGTCCCTTACCAGCAACTTGATCATCTAGGATATTTGAAATTTCGAAGTACATGTGATTCATGTGGAAATATCAAACTAACAGCACATCTTCAACTAACAGCACATCTTCACAGAACCGTCCTTTGCAATATTTACAAGCTTCAAGGAACGTAGCACCTGTTAATGACCACAAATATGTTTTATTAATTACTAACCTCATGTTTATTCATAATATCAAAAAATGACTGTTTTGGTTATTCATCAATAATCTAATGTCTTGTCATTATTAAATTATACATATTTATCAAAACATTCAAACTTGACATAAATAGTCTATTGTTTCAGGATCTGGATGACTGTTTCTCAATGTATTTTTTAGTTGGTTTTTTTTCTATAGAGCTTTTCCTTGCAATTACAATGCACTAACATACATCAAAGCAGCAAAGTAAGGAAGGGTGGTGGAGAGTTGAAATTCAATAATAAAAATAACAAAAAGAATAATAATAACAAATAATAATAATATAGTGATGATTACAATGATGATAATATTATATATAATAATAATAATAATCACAATAATAATATAATAATAATAATAATAATAATAATTATTATTATTATTATTATTATTATAAAGGCTAAATAATAGATGTAATATACATATTATACATTAAAAAATTACACATATTATTATAGAAAATTAGAATTAAAATTGCTACATACCTTAAGTTTAGCCGTGCCAGTAGTTCCAGTTATCCTCATGGCCATCTTGGTCATGTCTGGTACTGATAATGATGAACTCTCACTTTGGAAATGATCATATAATGTCCTATAAACCTATAGAAAATATTACACATAATAAACAATATATGTCATAAAAAATGTCCCTTGATAGAATTGTCTATGAGCAATATTTTATGTATTCTTACACAATGGAGGCTATTTTTGTTTATGTAATTTAGATATTGATATAATATCAATATCATTTTTCGCCTCTTGTTGACATCGAAAACCAAAATCACATGTATGGATTCATGTTTCAGTTACTATATTTTTTAGCATTCGTATACTTTATTTATTGCTTCTGTTAAGCAACTATATATTATACTCCATAACACAATCTTAAAATTATAGGATTTATATATTTGACAGTTTTACAAAATGTAGAAAACAAAGTGGATCCAAATTTTAATTAGTACTTTTTCATGTCTTGGTATTTTATAAATTTTTACTTAATTTACACTTCATACATCAATGCACCCAAGGAACATGTGACATTCTTGCATACTACATAGATGACACAAAGCAAGTGATAGTCTCACATTAATTACATCAATACATTAAAAATATGAAACCTACAAAGTAACACCTACTATACTGCAAGTAAAGTATGGTTGTTGGTTTTCTATTTAAAAAAAATAAAAACTTCATTTGACATTTTAATTTTAATTTATTCTTAATTTGTTCTTAATTTTTAAGAGATTTCAGCCTCAGTGTTCTTATATAATCTGTTCTTATAAAAAAAAAAAGTGTACTGTTATTACGTTGAGAGGTGCTAGAAGTCGCAAGGGGCGCATTCGTGGACGATTGGCTGAGCAGAGTACAACTTGTATCGTTTAAATGAATAGGCCTACAATCTGTACCGATTTACAGGAAGAGAAGGATCGACTCGTTAGGCATTGTCATAAAAAGCCCGTCTTTTTATTAAGTATAATCAGGCATTAATTTTAGCAAATAATGCTTTTAATAAGCCCTTACCTGGGCACCAGATTCGTTACAATCATCTGAGTTGATATCACTTCCGTTCATAGGTAAACCTAGTGCTTGTAGTGTCTGCTGTTCCTCTTCTGACAATTCTGGAAGCTAAATGCAAAAAATGAAAAATAATATAACTTGATGTACAGGTCTCCCCCTAATTAAAGACTCTCTAATTAAAGACCACCTTTTTGTCTTTTATCTTTATTATTCTGGATCTGTGGAAGTGGTTTGGCGCCGTGGGTACAGTTTGGTTTCCCAACCTGGATGTCAGCGTTTCAATCTCTCACTGTGCACTTCGCTTGTGTTCTTGAGCAAGGCACCTTTCTGCGTTGCTCCTCTCCACCCAGGAGTATAAATGGGTACCTGGTGGGGTTGCCTGAGAAAGCACCAATATGGCATCAACACTTAAAGCCCCATTCCCGGCAAAATGTCCGTTTTTAAGAAAAATCTAATTTTTGTATAATGTTATAAAGATTTATATATATAATACGGAATTGCTAGTTTAACTGAATTTAGACATTCCTAAGAATGAAAAAAATGTAAAATAAGATTGAAATTTGATTTTTTGTGTTCCACACAAAAAATAAATGTGAATGAATTTTTCATGTTGATTTTGCGATAGGTCGTGAGAAGAAATATCGTAGGCGCGCGCCGAAAACATTAGCCTATCCAACGCTGCTAGGCTAGACCTAGCCTTACCTCGATTTAGGTTCTGTTATCACACATAAAAACGGCCGACATGATATTTTCCGTTGCTAGTATTGACACTTGTGAATATAATATGGAATTATTTCAAATTTGTTAAAAAACTGATTCTGACTGAGATTTTGACACTTAAACAAACATATCTCAGCTTAACCAAACGACCGCGTTGTGCGAGATGCGAAGTACAAAAACTAATCTCACTAGAGAGGGCGCACTTTATTGACTGTATAAAGTATACATAAAAGCGAGAGTATTCCAGTGAATGCGATCTACAACCTCTGAATTTGCCTAGTAACGATGAATTCGTCAAGAAAATGGTAATATTTTATGAGAAATAGTCTGTATTTCTCATTTTTTTTATTCTTTTGCGTAAAACTAAAATTCATGTCAATATTTTTCCATGATTTATAAAAATTGGAGTATTGCAAATGCATATTTTCTAAAAAAAGTCAGTTTTTAGTGAAATTTTGCCGGGAATGGGGCTTTAAGCATGTGGACCCAATGACCAGGGAAAACAAAGTGCTTCGTAACCTAAAGGAAAAAGAGCAATATAACCAAGTAACAAATAACAAAAGACTAAAGCTGCTAAGACCATGGAAACCCCAGTCCCAGAAGTTGTCTTTAATTTAATTGGAGAGAGACATGATTTGATTGGTTTCATCTTGCACTCCACGCATCAGCAAACTGACAAGTATCTCAACCTCTTGTTTGAAAGCCCAATGCCTTACCATTGCCAAAAAGGGCTTCCGTGATTGTAACAGTGCTCCATATTATTGATATTTAATTCAATTTTGTTAAATTTCATGTGATCAAATCACTATTTGCACAAACATGATGACACAGATACGAAAAAAAAAATACATTAACTTATTGATATTTTCTCCAGGTTAGCCCCTTGGAAATTAGTATAAAAAATTATAAATATTTCAAAAAACATTCCAAAATGTACCTCATGTCCACTAGCCACTTCAAGTTTCTTCATTGTTTGACAGATTGTCATCAACTGTGTTTGAAAGAACTGAGCGGCTTCTAGTTGAGCCTTCTTGATCTCTTCTGTTTCCTTGATAATTGCACCATAGTCTTTCTTCACTTGATGTAACCTTGCAAGTAAGTCGGGTGGGTTGATCTGTGGGAAATGGTGTTGGATCTTAGTTAATTAATTTTTGTCCAAAAACATTCTAAAAAAGGACTTGCAAACTTTCCGTATATTCTCGCATACAAGACGGGGCTTAAAATAACAAATTATGATAAAAAAACAGGAGGTAATCTTTGATGTACAACAAATATAAATTATTGATTATTAAATTGTCTTATGTGGAGATCGTCCGTAACACGCTAATTTACTACTGAAATGAAGTTACCAACTAGAAGTTTAAATGAACACAACTCTAAATGCATGAAATAAGATTTTGTTAAACATTTAAAAGCCCATAAAATGGTATTACTTGGAAGATTAGCCCTACATTTGGCTCTGTTTTCTTCAGCCAGCTAGATGCAGCATCAAGACCATAAAGAACAGCAAAAGTGTGAAACAGGGGATGTCGTCTTATATGCCCGACATACAAAATCGTCCAAAAATCTTTAAAAACTCTGGGACCACCTTATATATGAGAATATACTGTAGTACAGTAAAACGTCGATTTTACGAAAGTTGATTTTACGAATAGTCGATTTTACGAATGGCCTTGGCTTCTGATGACGTCATCATCGACCAATCATTACTGTAAAACGAGTCTGATTGCGCAAGTTTTACAAAGTGATGATGTATATTTTCCTTAATATAATTAAGTTTGTATATATTTATTAATATATTAATCACTATATTATTGTAATAAACCTAACCAGAACAACGAACTACAGTACCAGTGTTGGTGTCAGCAACTTATTAACATCATAAATGCTAGATATGGTTGCAAAAATGCATGTAAACAACACAATTCAGTGACCTAACAACTAGAAAAAACATGATAGAAAGGTCCATTAAACATACAGATGAGGCTCTAGCGCTGTAGACCACGCTCCTGCACTGCCGGTTCGTGCTAGGCCTGGCTTCGTAAAATGACGTTTTACTGTTTATTGAGTTTTTCATTATGAACTAATGTATATCCAGGAAAGGTACATGGCATTGTTTAATTTCCTTTTCCTAGTTTATGTATTTTCACACCAACAATATGCAAGTTCTGAGGGGAATAGTAGAACACAGAAGCCGAAGAATCAAGTGAATCCTAAATAAAATAATAAAAAAATAATAAATAGCTCCTTTCCACCAGTAGATCTTAGAGACCCACTCATATGTTTCTTCACAAATTTCTTGACGTTTGCTACCGTAAAACCTCGAATAGGAGAACTGGGCATTTTTTTTTTTTACTTTGCAAAGTAATGGGGGCCTTTTTTTCAAAATGAATGATGTAAATTTTGGAAATTAGTACTATAAAACAATAAATAGGGCCACTATAACATCAAGCTCTATAATCAGCATTAAATCACTTAAACTACTGTATAAACCAAGTTTCAATTTATTTTGTTTCTTGGAAATATATGTTGAACAGAGTATGAAAAGAGATAGTGCTATCTTGAAAAGAAGCCCTATTTTTGCGAACTAAAGAGGGGGCTTCATCTCGAGGTTAAGCCCACTGGGCTTTAATTCAAGGTTTTACGGTATGTCAATTATATGTTTTAGTATATGATTATTATGAACAAATACAGAAACACTGAATAATTGTAAAAGTATGACCTAAAAACAAACCTGCTCGCCATTAATATTGTCCTCTGAGAATTCAGTTTCAAGCTTTCTTGACATGTAATCAAGGTCAGATTCGGCTTTTTGAAACTGAAAGAAATATGATTAAAAAGTATAGTTAAAGCTAATAAACAATCTGATTACATAATTTCAATCAATGTTCTTAGTTACAACACTACCATTTAGGATGCTTATTTGAATTGCAGAATCAATTATCAGTTTTGGTAGTGCTATATTCAAGTGGTTGGTGGCTGTCAACATCCGACCAACTGTGGTGACAAATTCGTCTGTGATCTGTGTCAAGGTCAAGCGTTTGCCAGAACGACGGTATCTATCAATTGCTGTTGACCATGGGATTGTCATTAAAAAATGCTTCCACAAAATTACTTAAGCCGACAGACCAGAGTGTGACGTTATCACTCTTAGTCGTAAAATATTTTTTTCATGTGATCAAGTGTAGGGAATAAATATAATGTATAGCCTAGGCCAAACCTATGTTACATCAAGGCCCGGCCTATCATCTGCTCTAGTTTTGCCAGGCCTCGTAAGTAAAGAAGTAGACTAGGCTAGCCTAACTAAGGACAAGCACACCAAAAATCACGGGCTGGCCCTCCTCCTTCCTGATCCTTGCTTATTTAGGAGGTCGCACCCACATGAGTGGCACACAGACACAGCCCAAATTCAACAGCCTAAAAAAGCATGTCACTTACTAGTGCCTCTACTTTATTAACGGCACTTTCCATTGCATGTTCCAAAGGTTTGTGATTAGCATTTTCAACTAAGCCTAAATCAGAGACCGACATTTCATCGCTACTACAACTACTTGCCGCCATTACTCAGAGGGTCAATCATAATTCATAAACTCGAGCATTCACCGTTCACCACTCTTCTCACCAAAGATCGTATAGCGCCGCTACGCTATATCTCGAGCGTCTACGTCACACACCGCTTGAATCCGATGGTGGCGCTATTCGTGACAACATTATACAAAAACAAAGTAGGCTTAGTGGCGTATATTGGCGGTTCTTTCTTTTGGGTATTTACATAATAAAGATGTTACATTTTAGATCAAAATAAATGATTCAGTTATAATTGACATCCTAGTTTATATAGACTAAGTACTATACAAACTGTTCGTAGTTTAGATAGTTATAGGTCATTTTTTAGGCTAGGCTTGGTTGGGAGAGGCCCAGCAGAGAGAGAGAGAGCCCGTCTTTGCCTGCTGACAGTCTGCTACTGCCCTGTTTTGTGCTGTACTGTTGTATGTACGAACTGAGGTTACCTCTAGGCCTAGATAGGTAGCTTAAACACTTGATTTAGTGACGTATGATACTGCCTAGCATTAGTGCGGTTGCAAGAAGGCAGAAAAAATTATTCAGGTTTAATCAATTAAATGATCGGAATCGGATTAAACATTTTAAAAATAATTTAACATAAAATAGATTGTAAACGTTAGGCCTAGTACATCGCCATGATTTGACTATGAAGTAAACAGGAAAAAAATTTAAAGATTGCATTTTTTCTTGTGCAGTTTGAATCAATATATCTTATTGGGATCAAAATGAGAAATCAGAGAGAAATTGCGCACAGAATTCAGTTGTTGCACTGCAGCCATGCTCTGAAGTTAAATTTAATTGTGTGGATGACACCGCAAGCTCGGAATTTTGTGAGGAAAATTCATAGTTTTAGTTTCAGTTTATTAATTAGACCAACAAGGTCGGGGGCAGCTTAAGCAAACAAATCACTATAACTTTTTCAAGTCAGCTGCCCCCTCATACAATATACAATTCAATAAAAAGACAAAATTACAATTTTAACATCAAAAGTGAAATATTTAAAGAATAGGAAAGTAGGTGTGCAGATCAATAGACAATTTTGAGTTATCAATGGTAAATATACACTTAGATAATTAGGCCTTACATCAGCTGTCATGTTTTTTTTTTTCACAGGTCAATCGTGTCTTCATGGTCAGAGTTTAATAAAAGAAAGCACCAAGGAAAATGGACAATTATCATATCTTAGATATGATTGGTGAAGGGTCCTTTGGGAAAGTGTATAAGGGACGGAAAAAGTACACAGGGCAAGTAAGTAGGAAAGTGTAGATGATTTATTCAGGATATGTTAAATCAGTGTTGAAAATTTGTAATTATGTTAAGTTACATAACAAATACAGGTATAACAATCTAAATAGTAAAAATCTCTCAATCACAATTCTGTTTAAATGCCAATAATAATAATGATGTTCCTTTTGTTAAAACTAATTACTTTTAAGGTTGTGGCTCTAAAGTTCATCCCAAAAACAGGCCGATCAGAAAAAGAATTGCAAAATCTTCGACGGGAAATTGAGATCATGCGGAACCTCCATCATGAAAATATTATTGAGATGCTTGATAGCTTTGAAACGGACAATGATGTAGTTGCAGTCACAGACTATGCTGTGGGCGAACTCTTCCAAATCTTAGAAGACGACGGCTGTCTCCAAGAGGAACAGGTTACTAATATAATTTTTCTTCAATTTAAAATAATTCATGATTATTACAGTTTTAAAATCTTAGAAAATGATGATTGTCTCCAAAGAATCAGGTTATTAACATGGTATCATTAGTATTACAGTACAGTACTGTGTTAGTATTTATTTAAGAGTTATGTTTTGCCCTACATGACGTTATTGTACTGAATACTCAGTATGTTCCTAAATACTTGTGAACAAAATTTGATTCGGGTGGGAATCAAAAACCGACGATCTCCAGATAACTAGTCTGGTGCCATAACCACTAGACTACAGAGTTTGCACTTAGTGACTAGTGTTGAATCCAATCCCAAGTAGCAGCTGGTACTGCAAATTCTATTTCGACGTGAGTTTGCATCAAGAAAATAACATAGGAGTGATGTTTGCCTTACACGACGTGTTAATATTTATTGTTATCAACTTAATTGAAAATATTGAAAATTAATAATATTGATTGCTAATACCATTGGTATTAATATTTATTATTATCATTAGAGTGAAGCTGTAACTTATTGGTTAAGATGCTTACCCCACAATCCTATGATTCTGAATTTGAGAACAATGAGACCCAAGGAATTCTTTGTTATTACTCATAAAAATAAATTTGACTATAATTTATTGTTAATTGCAGGTGCGCAGTATAGCCTGTCAGTTGGTGTCAGCTTTATACTACTTGCATTCGCACCGCATCCTGCATCGAGATATGAAGCCGCAGAACATACTACTTGGCAAAGGGGGTGCTGTGAAGCTGTGCGATTTTGGCTTTGCCAGAGCTATGAGTATCAACACTCTAGTACTTACCTCAATTAAGGTAATTCTTCATTTAAACTAGCTTATTTATTTAGAACTCATGGCTTTAATTAAAGTTGTTAGTCTTTATGATTGCTGCCTATGTAAGGCCGGGCACTCACTTCATCGTAAGACCGTCGGCCAAGGAATCCATCTCCGCTCCCTCTGAGCGAGCGTTAGATGAAGCGACGCTGTCTGCTGTTTGTATGACAGTCTCAACGGATTGTCATTAAAAATGATCCGTTGCATTCTTCATAGAACTTTATAAATAATACTTACAGTATATTCTTTACATAGACCCTATAATTGACTGGTAATTAAGAGCTCTCATAATAAAACATTACTAACTCAGCAATATTTTTGATATACATTGATTAAGTAATTTAAATAGAATAGTTACTGTACATTTACTTCATTTTTCAATTATATAACTTTTCATTTTAATATACAAACTTTTAATTGATTTAGGGGACGCCCTTGTACATGGCACCTGAACTTGTGGAAGAGAAGCCATATGACCACACTGCTGACCTTTGGTCACTTGGGTGCATCTTGTATGAGCTTGCTGTAGGAACGCCGCCATTTTATACAAACAGTATCTTCCAACTGGTTAGCCTTATCATTAAGGTAAGGGTTACATTCACTGAATGTGGATACTAATTAAAAAGAAATCTCTGAATGTAGTCAAATACTGGAATATAAATAATGAACATTTTTGCATTCTTTTTCAGGACCCTGTAAAATGGCCGAAGAACATGAGCTTAGAATTCAAGGTGAAGCTTACAAAATACATCAATCATTTTTTTTTCATGCTCTATGCTTTTATTTACTTGACCTTTAATATTGTATTTTATCATGTTTTTCATGTAAAGCGTATCAAACAATGTAAATCTGAAAATGCATTATATAAATAAATAGATAAATATTATTATTATTATTATTATTATTATTATTATTATTATTATTATTGTTATCATTATTATTATCATTATTGCTGTTGGTAGATAACCTGTAGCTCAGTGTGATCCATGTGTATTGTGGGGTGGGGGAAGGATGGAGGAGGAGGAGGTGTTTGTGTGTGTCTGGTGTATTGAGTGATTATATAAAGTATCAATCTATTTATAGGACTTCTTACAAGGTCTACTCACCAAGAAGCCCAGCAAGAGGTTATCATGGCCACACCTTCTACATCATCCGTTTGTTTCTGAAGGCGTTACAGGTGAATAAACAAAGTCATTTAAATTATAGATGATAAATGGGAAAGGGAGTGCTGCGTAAAATGTTTGAGATTGGTGCGGAGAGGGAATTGGGAAGGGGTACTTCTGTTTGGTATGGGGATGGAGGGCAATATAGCTGACTGATAAGGAGGGGAGTGGGGTGGAAATATTGGGAATTGATGATATGTTAATGGTAGCTCAGTCGGCTGAATTGGTGGTAGTTACTGTGTGCGCTGAACTGTGGAGATCTCTTGGTCCCTGAGTCAATTCCCATCGCTGCTCTTCTTGTATTTCAGCTAGAGGGCTGAAATGCTAGTTGCGATGTTAAAGAACGCAGTGCAATCTTCAGATTGTCTTCTGGTGTACATCCCAATCACCACCAGAAGGACCCCACTTGAAATAAGCCTTCTTCAGACTTTTGTGGGTTATTCTTGGTGTTTACACCAAATAAATCCAATCCAATGAGAGGGAGATTTGTTACTAATTGAGGAGGATGGGGAGTAACTTAAAAGATTTTTAATGCATGTATTTTTTAACAAATTTCAGCTGAAAAACCAACGATCGACATTCCATTTACGGAGGAGCCGCCCCCAGAAGTACAAGCAGCCAAAGCTAAAGCTGTGAGGGATAAGACAACCAATGTACCAGCTGGTACCACGATAATGAATAAACTTAAAGGAAGACAACCTAAAGAAGACCAGGTATGCACTAAACACACAACCTATATTTTTTGCATAGACCCTGAAATTGGTTTGTAATAAGTTTCATTATCATGTTTGTAGTAAATCAGTGAAAATTATTTTATATGTGTTTTATTGGAAGTTTATAACATATAGTCCACATTTCAAGCGCCCTGAGCATCTTATATTAGATGGATATGTGCGCTATGTAAAACTACACTATTATTATTATTATTATTATTATTATTATTTGATACTTTTTCAATTAAATATTTTTTTCTTACTTCATTCTTTGAACTTTTTGACGGGTTTTTTTTTTTTTTTTTTTTTATTTCATCACAAACAGTATATGGCCAATATAAGTTCTTTCGCAGACCTCAAATAATTTTGACATCTGATCTTCAAAAATGAATATTCATTATTTGTAGGCTGCACCCAAACAAGAAGCTTGGAGCAAGAGTAAAAAAGGCAAAAATGGGAAGGCTGAAGAGAATGCAAATAAGCATACTGATCCAACTCCACGACAAGACCGCACCCCGCATGAGAATGCGAAGGCACCGTCGTCGGTAGAAGGTCGTAAACTATCAGGCAAGAAACACAAGGGTGCTAACACTAGGAAAAGTATTGAGCAAGTACAATTTCAAGATGAGGTCAGTTTGAACATTACCTTTAAATTATTGTCTCAAATTTCATTGAACTTATACAGAAAATACATTAGAACTAATTTAATCTTTGCCTGTCAGGGTCCCATCCAGTGTTATGGGAAGATAGTTTTTTTAATCAATAAAAGAAAATTTTTTAAAAATTAAAAAATAAAATATAAAGAAAACTGAAATACTAAAAAAAAAAAATAAAGAGATAACTGAAATACATTTGTGTAGCATAGTGGTCAATCTTGACTCTCAAAGTAAACACTAGTAGTGATTTTGTCAATGGATCCCATCTATGACGGACATGTGTCTTCCAAGGCAGATGGCTACTGCAACAGCAAAAGTTAATCTCTTTAATTTTTTGTTTATATGTATATTTATGTGAAGCATTGTAAACATCATTGGTAAATGATAGAAAAGTTATTATTCCAAGCATAGACCTTCCTTATGAGCTGTCTGAAAAAACTTCTTTAAGCTGAATTCCACGAGGCTAAAGCCAATCAAAATTATGTTGTCAGTTTGTGAGAGAGTGACATTAATATGTTGGTATTACTGGAATATGTAGGAAATGGACAGTGAAGAAGAATGGGATGTGCTGTGTGATTCCACTACAGACCCCAGCACAATTGAAGGTTTCTTGAATGATGAAGAATTCATCAAGAGGATTTTAAGCCGACTGGAATCAACATCATCACAAGTTTTACAAGGGATGCTTGAGGGCGCTTCACGGTTGCGTTTGGTTGTGAAAGTGGTGAATAACATATTGCTATATCATGGGTAAGTTTTTTTTTTGCTTTTGATACATTGAATAAGTATATCATTATTTCTTTACATATTCTATGTTGTTGATAATTAAACATTTTTTATCGTATCATTTATTTCACCAAAACTATTGAATTTTAAACATATTAAGTGAAAAAAAATCATGAAGACCTCAAATTATATAAAACTTTGACAGTTTGTAACAAGATTGGTTTTTAAATGAAACATTTTGAATGATTGATTGATTGATTGATGAACTGATTGATTGATTAGTGATTGATAGTAGGTGTTAGTAGTGATTTTTATTATCTGTTTCTTTTATAGATCTCTTGAAGTACTAAAGAATTTTGTAGCCAAAATAAAAGTTCCTCAGATACCATTAGATTTATTGAGCAAACTGAAAAACAAGAAAGATGTACAACAAGTAAGTACTGTACCGAAAGGTCCACTGATTAATCTCAGATAAGAAAGTATAATACATACTCCAAGTATTGAAATACACGCCATCGTGTTGGGATTCAATATTTCGACATTAATTATGTCATCATCAGGAATGTCGTGTTGGGATTCAATATTTCGACATTAATTATGTCATCATCAGGAATGATCATTCCTGATGATGACATAATTAATGTCGAAATATTGAATCCCAACACGATGGCGTGTATTTCAATACTTGGAGTATGTATTATACAAGTACTGTACATACATTAATATTTATGCTTTTTATAAATTACAACATACAATAGCATTGAGAAAGTTATAAAAATTTAAACAATCCAAAAGCTTGTTTTTTCCTTCTCAAAAGCAACCTTGGTGTGTTCAGATCCTGATTGACCTGGTTGGCTTGGTAACAGCCTACACAGTCTCTGACATTGGGTCACAACTCGATATAGACAGGTAAGATTGCAGAGATTTGCATGCCCTCAAATATTTTTTTCTGCTTTATTCCTGTTCAATATGTGTTGATTGCATTAATTCTATTTTGCTAAATCCAGCACAAAAGAAGTAATGGAATCAGCTCTCAGTTTTGCCAGTCAGTTGCCATGGTTACTGCATATGAAAGAAGATGACCGTCTGACGTTGAGAGCATCAGTAATTTATGTAAGTAAAATATATAGTAAATTTATTTTGAGGAGTTTATTATTGATATTTATTGACGAGAGGCGGCCACAAAATATTTAATTGATTTATAAGCCATGAAATACAAACACCTTAGGCTGACACATAGCTTGGAGCCACTACACAACAGTAAAATTGCCTCTGTAAGGGGTCTTCCAAGGAAACTTATGCTTTTATGACCCTGATTGACCAGAAATCTGAAACATTAAAAATAAGGACAGTAACGCTATACAGATGTAAGTGTTTTTGTTTTGTTGGTTTATATATACAAACAGATGCAAGTATACAGAAGAATTAAAACTGATAACCAGAGAAACTTGCACTAGGGTTTCAAATACTGTTAATGTTAGTCACTATAGCACCTTTTGTTCTTCAGTGTTTTCTGTACCAGTGTGAGACGATGGACAGAAGCTCTGAGGAATTCTGTACAGGCTTTTATAATAGCTTGAGCTCAGCCCACAAGGATATCATCCCTGCACTTCTTCAAACCCTTGTAGAGGACAAGTTAACTATAAAACAATTGCAAGGTAGGACATCATTAGTTCATTACTTCTTCACATCCAAGTAACAGGCAACTTCAGGGGTCCCAAGTTGGAGTAAGTCTCTTCCTTAAGATCTGGTTAAATGAGCTTTCTTATTTTTTCTTTCTACGCATGGTGATACCCATCGATGCTGACTTCCGTGAGACAATAATAATGTAGTAAAGACATACAAATATTATAAATTTGCAGAAGATGGGTTATTTTCTGGGAGGTTCTTGCTTGCTTGCGGGAGTGCGGGAGGATTATGGATTTTAATTCACTTCTTCACTTCCTAGTAAAGGACATATTAAGTTTATCATAATCTTACATTTTTTCACATTCAAATCAAATATACTTGTTTACAGATACGCTGCCAGAAGGTGAAAATGCTATAGAACGTTGGGACCAGCTGTGTGGGCTTGGCGTTGGGGCGCTTGCTGAGTTAGTGTTCTTACATATTGGCCTGCCAACCATTGTGATAGGAAAACGTAAGATGGCTATTTGCGTTGGGGAGCAGATGGCAGAGAAGACCGCCTTGTCTGAAAACTTCTTCAAGTTTCTTACACATTCAGATTTTTGTGAAAATACATTAAAGGTAATTAATTGATTAATTGATAATTAATTTATAGATTTTAATTGTGTGGATGTTATTGTTTAACTATTGCCTTACCAACTGGTATTGCTTTTCTTTTGCATTCTAAGAGAATAAAGTATTTGTATTCGTATCTGTATAATTTTTAAATAATATTAAATATTAACTGTGTCTTTAAATATGTTTATATTAATATATATTTTAAAAGCTATACCATATTCTGATGTATTACTTAGTAAAAATTATGTTTCTTTTAAAATGTAAATATTGGCTTTGTGTCAGAGCATTAGGGGGCACAGGGGCGCATACCCCCATGTTTTGACACTAAATTTTAAAGTTTCAATGCATATATTGAAATTAGTGCTACTCACTCATCTATTCTGAAAATGTTGTGCCCCACCCCGTTTAAAAAATTCTGAATCCACCCCTGGTAATTAACTTTAAAAAAAAAAATCAAGGTCATAATAAAGGTCGTATTACTAGAGAGATCTTAAGTAAGTGCGTCTACACGGCACTACTCTGAGCGCATATTCCTTACATTCCTAGTGTACGCAGAAGTAGCACACTGAGACTGCTCAGGAGTAATTCGTATGTAGTAAGATTGAAGTAACTTAATAAAAAGAGCGTCTTCATAGGCACTACCCAGGGCTTATGACAGGTAAACAGCTACTTCAAAGCTTACTTCTTACTTGCCTGAACTTGCCAAATATTTATATTGTGGAATTTTTTTTTTCTTTTTTAGACAATCTACTTTACCTGTCAGATGTCTCAAGAGTTCTGCCAATTAGTAGTCAACAGTCAAGTTGCATTGCCATCGTTGATTATGATATTGCAGGGAAAGGTTTGTGCTGCTCCAAATAATCATCTCTAATAATACCGTTAATACCACCTCATATGAGACAATTCAGCTTAGCAAACAGCCTCAAGAGGATCGGTACTCAGTTTTCATGCATCACTGCACATAGTGTACTAAATGTGAGCTAGTCAGCAGTACCCACACTGACATTTTTTTTATGGTACTCCACATATAGATTGGTTTTAAACTACAGATATAGAATCATTTATGTAGTTGGCTTCAGTTGTGGTGCAAGTGGAGGGGCTGCAGGCAGTGCAGGCTCCCCAATGGGGAGCTCAACACAAATTGTTTGGGAGAAATAAATTATAATATTTATTATTATTGATAGAAATGGCGGTCATCATACCGAATGCTTAGTATAAATACTTGTAAAAGAAAATTTCAAGTGTTTCGGTTGGGAATTGAACCCACAACCTCTAGATAACTAGTCTGCTGTCATAACTGCTAGATCCACCATGCTTGCTCTTAACGGCTAGTGTTAAGTCCGATCCCCAAGTGGCAGCGGGTACGGCAATGCTAATTTTAAATAATTTCTATCAAGTTTCCTGATGCAAACAACATCAAAATTTATATATTATTATGTTTATATGTTACCGTTATAACATATAATATTTTAAATATAATATTATAAATGACATTATTCATTTTTTTCTGCAGATTGATATTGTGGACATGAGTCAAAACACTGTATATGAAATGGTTTTACAAACAATAGCAACACTCATAATCCAACTACAAGATGTCCCACAAGGGTAAGGAATATCAAAAAGATGCGCCTATTAGATTCAATTAATTCTGTTTTCAATTATGATCAGAGATTATACCTAATGGCCCTGTCACATAGTAGCGAATAGACCTAACATATGCTGAGCGTTCTCATTTTTTTTTTCTAAGTCCCGATACGCTCAAATACGCTCAATTTTTTTGGCAAAAAAATAACATTTTTGCATGAAAGACGAACGCCCAACGACTGAGAAACGAATGCTCATCGTACAACTAGCGTCTATTTAACGAATGATAGCGCGTTCGCCCAACGAATGTTTAGCGTACACAACGAATGCCCAGCGAATGTCACACGTATGCCTAACGTATTGACGCCTTGTAAACGTTGATGTGGGTCGGTATACGCTGAGTGTTCGCTGGCCATTCGTTGCTCATTAGTTAGACAAATGCTATGAATACGTTATGCATTTGCTATGGCAACGTTTCAGATGGGATTGAACGTGTTTGGACGAACAACGAACAAACAGAAAACGTAAACCCAACGTGCGAAATGTTCAAACAACGAATGCTCGCCGTATGCATAGCGTATGTAGCAGAATGTTGTCATACCTGTACGTTCAAAATTTTGAACATGTCAAAAAATTAAAATCGACCCCAGCGTACCTCAGCGTACCCCAATGAACAGCTAACGAATACAACGTATGCCAATCATATTATGAACGTGTCACGAACGAATGTCAACTTACGCGAACGTAAACCACTATTTTGATAAACGTTGGCATACGTTGGTTCTATACGCTACAGTGTGACAGGGGCTTTAGTATATAATAATAAAACAGCACTTGTGAAGTGCCATCTATCCAGCATTCTATTTCGTGACTCTTGACGAAAAGAAAATAGTACAGTATTTATTTGTTGTATATATTGATTTGTTGGAAAAGCAAGACAGTGAGGCTTCATTTTACAAATTGCCTAGTAAAAAATTATTATATATTGATTGATATACAATCCTAGAAAGCATTTGCATTGGAGTTAAACACCAGCACCCATACTATTTTCATTGTCTTCATTATAGAGTTTTCCAAGCAAGCGTTGTATTTGCTGCCATTCTTTTGGATTCTCAAATTGCAAGTCAAACTGTAAGTTAGTTTCTACTTTGTTATCATTTAAATGTATATAACAATAATTTTGCATACACTATAAGGCTGCAGGCTGAATCTGATTGAACCGATATCCTAGGGATTTTACCCCTCCCTGCACTAAATTTACCCATCATAATCCGCTGACAAAAACTTTTTTTTCAATCATTTTTTTTCCTCAATCAGTTTTTTGGCAAAGTGCAGCAACCTTTTTATAATTTGTTTTTTAACTGTTAATACAGCTACTGTATATTCTTACACTATGTTGTGAGCTATGTTTATTAACTAACTCATGAATATTCATGGTTGACCTTGTCTATAAAATCTTTATTCACTTGCAGTCTGCTGCAGCATTGCTGATCAGTCAGCTGTTGTTTTATGGAGTGTCGATAGAGTTGCCTACTAAAGACCTACTGCATGCGATGCATTCTGCACTCACGGATCTATCACAGGTAAATCCACTATAGACATTTTTATTTACATGAGAACAAGAATTCTAACACAATACATAGAACCTCTGCGTTGTTACTCAGCTAATACTTCAATCAGGATATCTCAATGACCATAATCTCATATGTGACAACATTTAGTTTGTGACAAAATCTAATTTGTGACAATATCCTAATTGTGAGAATTTCTAGTTTGTCATTCATCTGATACCCTTTTCAAACTGCTCTCTGTTGCGATTGGTTAAAATGTAATCGGTGGTAATACAATACTGATTACTCCCAATCGCAATCAACAAATGCATTCAGACCAACACAAACAAACTTTACATGCTAGGGCCTAGGCCTCCAGTGGCTAGACCTACTGTATGTTGACTGACCTCAGCCAAACTGACTGTGGAATTTGTTGTGATTGGATTCCATGGTAATCGGGAGTAATAAAGATTGTAGCACCCAATCGCAATGGGTAACTATTGCGATATTGATTACTTATCAACTACTATTGGTGAGCTTTCATACATGATTTTACTTTGTAATTGGGTGTCGCATTTGCTAAAACTGATCGCAATGCGATGTTAGTCTGAATGGGCTAAGATGTTTCCTTCTTCTTTAGATTTGCATCCGTTGTCCGTTTGATTACGGTGTTCTGGATGGATTGATTCTTCTTCTGTGCCAGTTCCTCTCAGTTGAAGAAAAAACCGCCAGTCAGCTTTTGATTGAGTCAGGTGTTTGGAAGATGATGTGGTACAGGTGAGCAGAGGACCAGAAATCAGATCAGAAATGAGATTTACAACCAACTTTACTAAGACCTTATGTCCCAGAAAGAATGGTGAAAATGAAACTGTAATTCACCCTCATTAAATATGGCTCGGATAAATACTGTACATAAACTAAATAGCACTTTTTTACAAATAATTATTTTCTATTTGCTACTACTGTATATTTTTATATGACTAGGTTGTCCCAGGCACTTGGCATTAATAATGATGCTGATAACAGTATGCCATTGCAAGATCTGGAGGAGGAATTAGACCCCACCTGTCAGCCTGACTGGAATCTCATCTCACCATCGGCCCTCATGGCATCAACTCAAATCATCATGATTGTATTCACTAGTGTAAGTTCCCTAAAGCCCTGTCCACACTATCAAATTCTATTTGACAAAAACATGTGACATGCCTAAATATGGTTGTGATGACATCACATCATGACCATATATAGGCACATCATGACTATATATGTGCATACAACAGTTTCTTGTCTTTCATGATATTTTTGGATCTTTTGGAATTATTTGAATGAGATGGGAACACAGCATGCAACCCATTATGGAAGTAAGAGTTACATGTAGTGCTGGTTCAGTGGTCTAATAATATGGGTACTCTGCTGGTAACTCATGGAGGTCATGGGTTCAATTCCCACTTTAAATCTAACTAAGTATGCACTGCAGTAAGCATGTATGGCAAAAATATCCTCATTAACATAATTTCTTAACTTAATATTAACAGCCTGTTAAATGAATATTGACAACCTAAGTAGCCACACTAATATATTAAATATTCTTGATGACCCCATGCTCACACACTGCAAGGGATAGCCACTCCAAGCATTTATGCAGAATGAACAGATTCATATTATTATTATTATTATTATTATTATTATTATTAATTGTGATCTTGGTACAGGAACCATTTCAATGTTGTTCTCAACTAGTGGATACCGAAGGCATTGTGATGATATGTATCAGCACGCTGATCTCAACAGACTTCCTTCATCAGCTTGCCAACTTGTAAGTCACTGTTTAGATTAAATCAACCACTATACTTGCTTCTTACTTAATCCTCAATCAACCACTATACTTACTTACTTAATCCTCAATCAACCACTATACTTACTTAATCCTCAATCAACCACTATACATGTACAGAATTAAGAATATTTTAACACTATTATAACCTTGACAAAATCATCATCGAAGAGACTGTTGAATGGCAAAGAGAGCATTATGCGTTATAGCAAAGATACTAGAAACATAAGGTAGAACTCTCCATAGATAAAAACTGTATCACCGAATTGCATGGTGGGTGTACTGTACTATAAGGTGCCGTATACAGCCGGCGATAAACAAACTTGCATAAATTGTCATTGTTGGAAAGAGATTGCTGCTGCGTATGTCTGGAGATGGGTAAAATATATGATGTATGTCCGCTTCACTTCTGCTGTGTGAGAGTTCTATGTTGTGTTTCTAGTATCTTATAGGATTTGACTGGCCACAACTTGAACAAACTCATTTGCATTGCTCAATACCAGCACATATGAAACACTGTCAGCTTACGGACCACAGATGGAAAGCAATGACCGGTTTCCAAAAAGAAGAAATTATTATTGTTAAAATTATTATTGTTGTTATTAGTATTATTGTTGTTACTATTGTTACTATTATTATCGTTGCAGCCCGGCCATTATCAATCAACATTTCATTTCTTATTTTTACTTTAAACGCCTTGGGAAGATTTATCTATTTGTAAGGCGCCATAAAAATACAACTACCCTACATTAAATCATCATCAGCAATGCCGCCATATCCGCTGCCACATAACCAAAAACCCAAAATAAATGTTAATTCTGAGCAATGACAATCCGTTTTAATAAGTGTTGTTAGGACAGTTGTATATAATGCCTTTTACACTATTGAAAATACGATAATCAATTTGTGTTTTAGCACTAGTGAAGAGTTTGATTTTAAGGACATGGTGGTGTCACTTGTGCTGCAGATCTCTCAGCTTCTTTGTTTCCCATTTGCGCTTGACATCAGTGACACTCTGGTTGAGGACATTCTCTCATCTTATCATCAAAGCCTGTTGCTGCCTAAGCTCTTAGCAGCCTGCCTCTTATACCTGGAACCAGGAACATTAGAGGTACCTGTAGGTAGGTTTCGATTTGGTTTTTGTTTTATTGTTGTTAAAGTGTTAAAATGTTATGAATCACTGAATTGATGGAAATATACTGTGATTGAGTGCCACTATGAGGCTTTCAAGAAAGTGGCACAACAATAAGCCTTTGAGCTTCTAGCGAGAATGTTGGGTTCAAATTTATTTGTTGCTCGCACTGTATTATTGTGGAACACACTTTTGTCTGTTTTGTCTTTCTGCACCTAAGTGCGTACTAGTAGGACATTATTGATTTGAACTGAAATTGATCTGGTATTACACACTATTAGGAATACTTTTTGGGAGTAGAGGAATATTTATATTTTTTAGAAATTATTATTAAGTATTATTTTTAGTATTATATCATCTCTTTGATTGAAAGGTTGTTACTGTCTTACAGGTCTTATGTCAAGATTAGTTCTGAGTGATGAACTCTTTATTTCACAGTTTGTTCAAGCCACTGCTAATTTCAAGGTTTGACATATCAATACGATTTTAGATTTTATTATTTAAAGAAATCCCTATAGAAAAAAGCAATAATTTAGCCTCTACTGAAATTACTGCAAGAAAGAAAACTGACATAACATTTCCTGGTTATTGAATACACACCAGTGGTGTATCCAAGGGGTAGCAAAAGGGGTGCAATATTCTAGGCAGCATCAAAATAATCTCTTACCAATTGTGAAATTGCTTAGATAAGAGATCAAATTGGCTAAAATGTCAGAAATTCCATTCGCCCCACTATAAGAAACCAACCCCAAAGACCAAGATTATTGAGTGGTGCTTCTTCCCCCGGCAGAAACATAATGGATTCACCAACACATGCACAAATTGTGTAAATAAATGCTGCCTCCTCTCCTCATTCATATTCTGTTGCTGTTTTTCTTCTAGGCTGAACCTCTCATAGCTGGTCTTCTTTCAAGTTCTTGTCCAGAAACCGTCCAGGCCGACACGCTTTCCATTTGCAGCCATCTGGCACGTAGCTCGTCCGATCATATGCCCTTACTCCAACAGGTTTTGACAGGCAAGCAGAAGAAGTATGAAAGCTTAGCCCAGCTGCTGGACAGCAAGGATGATACTGTACGATCACGGGCTAGTGGCCTGCTTGGCAACATGTTGAAACATTCAAATGAATTCCTTCCAGTTGCCAAGGGAACATGTCAGTTGACTGTTTTAACAGTGAAGAATCTGTCAGATGAAAACAGTGATGTTAGGAAAGTATGTTTATTAGCTTCTAACCATATAGTTTGGTTTATTTTATTGAAATATAAACCAGAGCTCTCAAGTCTTCTGGATTGCCCTGGAGTCTCCAGGAATGTTGGTTCATCTCCCAGTCTCCCAGAAATTCCACATTTTCTCTGGGAATTTGAATTTCTCTTGGATTTCTTAGGGTTGTAACAGATTCTCACAATTAGAACTTATGCTATGCTAAGTTTTCCCATTCTTGTGCATTAAATATGACACATCAAATTTATTGAACATTCTAGGCAGCAATAAGGTATTAACAGTGACATACATCTGCCCAAGCCTCTTTTTTTTTTATTGAACATGGCGATAAATTTGTACACGCATGTTTTTGTACCTGCATTTTAGCTAGTACACGTGTCACAAACCTCTGCCTGTCCTGCACAACAATTTCTCCAGGAATTTGGCTTGCAAAACTTATGACCTCTGATAAACATTAGGATACAAAAATATCTGAAAAGTCTCCTAATTTAAAAAGATTTTTTTTTTTAAAGTGTGTCACAAAAAATTATCCATGTTCAAACTCACATTTTTATTTAATTGTTCATCATATAAAGCAGTAGGAGATTTCCGCACCACTTGGCCAAAGCTACTCATTCCCCGGTAGCTTCCAATAATAATCAAAAAAATTAATGATACATAAATGCAGGTATAATCCAATACACTTTCAACTTTTTTCAACTTTCATCCTACTAGGCTTCAAGTTTTGCAGTAGGTAACGCAGCCTATCACAATAGTAATCTATATAGCCAACTCTCTAGTGCAATTCCACCTCTTGTTCAGCTTCTCAAAGATTCCGTCTCCAAAATCAGGACAAATGCTACAGGTAATCAGTAATTTCAGAAATGTTTCATGTACAGTACATTTGAACTTGTCGAATCCAAAATGGCATGGAAAAACTGTTCGACTTAGATAATATACTCGACTTACAGATGGTTAATTAATGGAAAACACAACAATTTGCCATGTAAAATAAAATAGACGTAGAAATTATTCGACATAGGCAAAGTCGGCTTAGGCAAGTTTAACTGTATTATACACAATTCACATTCCCTTTATTCAACATATTTCTACCCAGATTTAGATTTTTTTATCATATTGTGTCTTTCATTAGTGATAAAGGTGGTCGGTCACCTAACGCCACAGTAGCACTGAAAGCTTGTAGAATAAAAGTATGTCCTTTTACAACTACTTGCTTATTGTCGTTACTGGCTTTCTCTCTTCAGGAGCACTTGGAAATCTAGCCCGCCACTCCAATAAATTAATACCTGCACTTATCAAAGCTAAGGCACCGGAAAGGTAGTAACATTGATTTATATTCTCATTCAGTTGAGTACATAATTTTCATGCGGGTGACCCTGTATATCAGTAGGCTGATATACAGGGTCAGTGAGGATGCATGTACTGTATGTACATTGAGAGAGCAGCTTAGCTCAGTCGGCTAAACTGCTGCACTCTTTGTAATTCAGCTGGAGGCGGATTTCAAGTTATAATGGCGCACCATCTTTTGGATGAGACTTTTAAGCCATTGGTCCTGTGTGCATTTTGGCCTATGCGCACGTTAAAGTACAGAGTACGCTCTTCTTCTTTTCCTTTTCTTTTCTTTCTTTATTGTTTATTCCTGGGGGACTGCTCAGGGATAATATCCCTGGTCCTCCGCAGATCCCAGCAAAGAAAATAACAAACAGTGAAACATTTCATAAAAAAACATAAAATCACAAAAAGCTAGAAGGAGAGAGAGAGGAAAGAGAGGGGGATTGTTTCCCTGTGTACTGCCCAATCACCACCAGGAGGACCCCTCTGGAAGTAAGTTTTCTTTAGACTTCCGTAGGTTATCCTGGTTTTTGAATAAATCTATCCATATGTAGCTACGAACTAGATCTCAGCCAATCAAGAATAGAGAAATCAGGATGCTTATATTTTCAATGATGGCATAAATTCATGAGAACAACTTCCAATATTGAGTTTGCTGAAAAGATTTAAATACTTATTTCTACCATTTGACAAATTCAATTTCTAATGGAAATCGACTATCCAAAGACCAATGCTTATGCCTTTAATTGCAGGTTGTTAGAAGTTGCTTGTTATGATTCCCAGTTCAGTTGCCAAGAATCAGCTCTCATGGCACTTAGATCGATGGCATCTTATAGTCAAGTCAAACAGGTAAGCAAGGAACTTGTGCACAAATATCTTCATTCTATAGAATACCATTATTTATTGAAAAAGTGACCATAGAAATTGGGTTTTTTCTGGTGCAACACAAAGCTTAAGAAACATGATTATTGGAAACTGAAGAACAGGTATATATATATAGGACTACATGAACTTTAACAAAAAGGAAAGACTTTATAGTTGATCAAGCAGCAGTTGCATATCTGACTATCAATAAGCAACAATGGCTCATGAAAATCCTGAGGAAAGAATGGTATTGGAGAAAAGTTTCTTTAATTAGACAATGGCAATTTCTGAAGGTTGAGTTGATGGTAGATTACTGAAATGACATGATGTTCATTTGACCCAGATTAGTTTTTCTTTCACAGTTGACTCATTTTTATTATTCCACTTCCTTTTCAGTACCTTCTTAAACATCAAGCTGTTGATAAGCTCTCGAACATGACCCATGCTGTGAGGTCATCTGGGACAACGACACCCTCAAGTTTACCTTCATCTGCTCGCAGTGGACGGAGTAGTACCACGGTAGTATCTCACCATTGCAGTAGGTTACTGCGTATGCTGCAGTCCTCTAGCGCTACTGGTAAATGATGATACAAAAATATGTTAGGCAGTAGTAGAACTCACCATAGGTTACTGGGCATGCTTAGGTCAGTAGATGATGAAGCAGTCAATATTGTAATGTATTTCATCTGTTGTTTAATAATTTGAAACCATTTTAAAAACAGGGCTCATTGAGTCTTCGTCTGTTGACTTTTTAAACTGAATGCAGGGTGGATCCAGGGGGAGCTAGGAGCCCCAAAAAACTCATCATTTTACAGGGGTGTCATGGAGGCGCAAAGCCCTTCTGTGGATGCTTTCCCAGGTGGGCAAATATACACGAGATAAGACAAAGGTCTTGTTTTGGATGATTTACGTGATGTTTGAGTGTGATGTTTAGTTGTTAGGATACCAGAGCTGTTTCAAAGTGCAATTAATAATGTAACATACTGTAATCAAAGTAAAGCTAATTATTGAATGTTTTACTTTATTTAGACAATGAGAAATTAAATATGGCACACACATAGCAGGAACTTACACCTTAAACCAGGGCCACAGCAATAATTTTGGGATCCCAATGGCAATAAATTTACACAATATCAGGGATCTAACTCTTTCTATGATTGATTTCAATGCAAGTGGTTCCTAATTTATGTTCAGCCTGCAAAGCCATGTATATTTGTGTCCTTTCTAATAGGATTGAATGTTAAGCTCGGTTTCCATACAATCGCTGCACCGTTTTCACTGCAATTCTTGCACTGCACAGCTGTCTCCGATGCAAATCGAGAATGTTCCCCGATTCGACTGACCAGCCAGCGTTGCCAAAGGAGTCGGCGACAGCGTGTGGCGATTTTTATGGAAACCAGGCCTGAGTAATAAAAGAGCAGCTTAGCTCAGTCAGCTAAACTGGTAGTTTCCACTGCACATTGAAGAAGGCAGTACACTATTAGGAAAAAGATTACCTGTAGAGGGTATGTAGTGCTCGTTGTTTGTGTTGGGGGAGGGGGGAAGTTGTGGGTGGGTATTTATTGTTTTTTAGTCAGTTCAATAACAATAAGTAAATTAAACCTTGATGAATGACATTCCAATCCTACAAGCTTTGTAACATAGATCTATATTTTGTTTCTTATTGCAATTGTAGAAATATATGGCAAGATGTACATATTAAATGCTTAATCACTGCTACCTAAATGTTTGTGTAGAGCAATCTTTTACAACCTGTGGTGTGATAAAATTGAATGAAACCCTCGAATAAAAGCGACCCTTCGATGGGCTTCATTCGAGATGTGTTTCTTTTCAAGATTACTTTTGCAAACTGAAGAGGTTTGCCTAGAAGTGGTTTGGCGCAGTGGGAACAGTTTGGATTCCCAACCTCGAGGTCAGGGTTTCAACACCCTCACTGTGCATTCTACTTGTGTCCTTGGGCATGGCACTTTATCTGCATTGCTTCTCTCCACCCAGGAGTATAAATGGGTACCTGGTAGGGTTAAATACCAAAATGCGCTGATGTATCTGCTGCCAAGTTATGGAATACTCCCCAGGGAGCTTGAGTTTGTGTTCCATAGGCGTTTAATCCAATGACTGGGGGTAAAATTGTGAAGCACTTAGAGGCCGTGGTGGCGTTAAATGCTATATAAATCTAACATATATTATTATCAAGAGGGAGCTTCTTTTTGAGATGGGCTTCTTCTCAAGATTAAGCACACTGGGATGAGGTTTTACAGTATGCCATTAATTGTATTCAAACAATTAGCAGTATGTAATTACAACCAATATTGGGATATTTTTAGCAACATTTACCAATTTGAAAGCATAATAAAGGTTCTTGGTGATAAATATGCAGGGCTGAGGTTTTACATTATGCCATTAAATGTATTCAAACAATTAGCAGTATGCAAATACAACCAATATTGGATATTTTTAGCAACACTGACAAATTTGAAAGCATAATAATTAAGGTGTTTGGTGATAGATATGCAGAGTATATGCACTTTAAAACTGATGTAAAATCATTTTCCTTAAATATTAGTCTTAACGTTGTTTGAAAAATCTACATCAGATGCCTACATTAGCTTATCTGTTGCAAATTCAGCCTGATAACCAGTGGTACTTTTAGGATATACATTAAGGGTGAACCTGCCTAGTGGGGGTTAATGGGTAGGGTCAAAGGAAAATTTTGGGTCAATTTAAGCTGTTATGTTTTTCATAGTTTTGAAATGAACAAAATACATACACAAATAAAATATATATTTCGAATCGCAATCCATTCAAGTACACATTTATTTTAATTTAAATGTATTCTCAAACTACTATATATATTTACATGTTGCACTTTCCAGAAAAAAATGAATCAAGACAAAATAACACAAATTATAATAAAAACTAAGAAGAAACATAACATGCTACTACATGTATTATATGTTACATCAAATATCAACATCACTGTACATATGTAAAAAGAAACATCTTATTTATTTACTATTATACGCTTGGATCTAAATTTTCAATATCATAATTGGTTTCTGTAAGTTATTTTAAAGGAATGTCAATCAGAGCAGGGACAAGAATACGCCCATGTTTAACATGGGACCTTTAGCAACAATATCTAAGGGGCGTGACTTAGCAGAGAAGTCCACTGAAATTGTGCAACAACGGTGGGTCTTTCTTATAGATTTGAATATACTATAATTTAAATTTAATAAATATGAGTACTTTTCTGTCACGGGGTTTTAAATTGACAATAATAAAAATAATAATAATAACAATAATAATAATAATGAGATGAATGATTAAAAGAAAATAATAGTCATTCATTTTTTAATATGCTGCGATCTCCCCATGAATCAAAATATTTACAGAGCATGCACACTGATATACTAACAGTGGGTTACCAATGAGGCAACAAATGAAATTTCATCAAAAACTGTATTTCTTAAAATTAGTACAGTTTATTAAAAATTATTATTCTTAAAATGACTGATTCTACAGGGTTTTAATTTTAAATGAAAATATTACCCAAGATTTTTTCCATAATTATATTAATCACTTAAACTACCAAAAATCATATGATATTACTAGAAGTTATATGTGACAAAATATTATGTTTATTATTAATTATACACTTAACCCTATCACCAACAACTCTCAATCTCTATTCATATACACTTCTTACATGAATACAGTTCTCTTTCATCCAGGGGTACCAACACTCCCGCAATCGAAATAGAACCTGCCGGGGGAATAACCCATCTCCCACAAATTCAATAAATAAGCATGCTTTACTACTGTATTACCCCTTTATTATCATGTGTCTTACGGTAGTCAGTGTCGATGGATATCACCATAAGCAGCAAAAAAAAATTAGATATGCTAAGAAAGGTGGTTTAAACCATTGAGTTTCAAATTCCTCACAGACCACGCCCGTACACAATTCAGCAATATGACACTGCAAGTTATGGGTTATTCTCCTACCTTTACCCTTTCCTTTAAAAAAAAAATCTATTTGATATTCTATTGCCATGTTCACATTGGGTTGGCTAATTTTGACGAGGAGGTGGACCTTATCTTAGGTAGATCATAGCGCTGTTCACACTTAGATTTAAATATGCAGTAAGTTTTATCAAAACCATGTGCAGAATACAATTCACCATGTGTAAATTGCTACCATTGCATGCATTCAAATTTCTGGACATAAAATAGGTGATAACCTTTTCTATAATGCTCAGGGAGGGAAACCAGCCTGGTTCACATGGATCAATTTTGACAAGGAGGTGGAGCTTATCTTGGCAAAATCATAGCGCTGTTCGTACTTAGGTTTAAATACACATAAAGTTTCATCAAGGCCATGTGCAAAATATAATTCACCGTGTAGTTTGCCAGCATAGCATGCATTTAAATTAAGACTTCTGGACACAAAATAGGTGATATCATTTTATATAATGCTCAGTGAGAGAAAAGAGCCAGGATATCTTTCCTAGGTACAATAACTACACAGGCTGGTCGCTCTGAATTTTTTGGCAAAGGGACTGTATACCTGGTTAGTTTGACCTAAAAAAGGTCTAACCTGGATAAGATTTTACATATACAGTTAAACTTGCCTAAGTCGACTCTGCCTAATTCAAATACTTCTAAGTCGCTCTTATTGTACATGCCCAATTGTTGTTTTGCATTAATTAACAATCTGTAAGTTGAATTTTTTCAAGTCAACTATTTCAAGTCAAGCTATTTTTCAATGCCATTTTGGATTAGGCAAGTTCAACTGTACCATCATTGTAACATCTCAGATTCAACCTCTTCTCCCATTTGTTCCCTCTCACCCCCACCCCACTTTTTTTTCTCTAATCTTATCCCATCTTCTTACAACTTAGTTCAACACCTTCATACAATTATATATCTGTTATCAGCTAATGAAAAGCATACAGGAGTAGTAATATAATGCAGGTGGCAATCACACTTCCTAATATGATGGAGTCTCTCCTCTTCCGTAAGTTTATCCTTTGAACGAGGCTATTAATAACAGGGAATCGGTCTGAAGAACATTATGGTTAAGGAAACCATCTAACAAAATGAGCAGTTAAAAAGATAGGAAATTTTGGAATTACCATTTTCAATAATAATCATTGATGAACTACACAATATTCTATGCTGAAAATATAATAACATAAAAAGATATAAATAACTTTGAAATGATTTGAATTTAAATTTTGGTATTACATTATGTTTTAGTAACTTCTAAACAATTTTTTTTTCTTGTTGGTGAATGAAAAGTATGAATAAATATATAAGATTAAAATATCCAACAAATATGCACTACGGTACAGCAGTTGCTAAAAATAAGATACATACTGTACAAGTAAATATAGAGATTGACATTACTAAAAATATAATAAATAAATAAATAATAAATAAAATAAATATAATAGAATGATGATAATAATATTGTTGTAGAACTGTTTTAACCATTAATAAACCACACACAATGGATGTTAACTTATGAATAATATTAATTAAAATAAAAATAATAAACATAATAATAATAAACAAGAACAATACCACAATTGTCATTTAACTTCATTTTAAAGGATACTGACCATGTTGGACATTGAACCGCTGATCTTGCGCAATGTGCTTCTTTGTGACATCAAGTTTTCTTTTGTTGCAATAGCAATACTGCAAAGTTAAATCCATCAATACATATGTGGTTTTTCAATCAACAGGAATTTATAGGGACGAAGATATCCATAGCAAAATGCAATTATGTTGATATATACTATACTAAGTTAATTTTTTTAATACTGGTAAAAAAAACACTGTACCTTAAACAAAAAACTACTTTTTCAATAAATTCCAATATATATTTTAAATTCCAAAGTGATACTTACTTAATTGTTTCATCCGTTATCCTATCTGAACTGAAAAAGGTAATTAAATGTAGATTTTGTTAATATATGATATAACAAGGTCAAGATAAAAAAAGAAGAAAATTTCTTGTTCTGTTGACCCAGTGTGTGCCAGGCTTCAACAAAAAAGTACAACATCTACAACTTACTTCCTTAAATGTTCATGTTCTTTGAGGTACATATCTGTCCTTCTATTCAACCCAGAAGAATTTTTATATGCATCGATTTCTCTTCGCACCGATCCTAGCAGATCCTCCCGTTCCCGACAGGCACTGATATTGCTTCTCGTTTTCTGGAATTCATGGGAATAATCCTGGAGGATGTCTCGATGCCGTTGTAGCGTGTGAAGGAGTGCTGCACTTGGGGCTAATGATGAAACGCTATTTGTGTATTCAGACATTCTATCATTAACTTCTGTTAACTAAAATAAACATTTTCAAAAGTAAAACAGTATCAAGTATCAAGGATAAAAAGATACTACAGGAAAAAAAAACTTTTGTTTCTAAAATAGGGCAAAGCAGAAAGAGTGTAAGGAGAATGGATGCTACTAAGATTAATGAAGAAGTAGGGAAAAGAGGATGTGTTTTCAAAAAGGGATTATAATTTATTTTTAAATATTATAAAAAAATTTAAAATGAAATTACATAACAAGGTGGTTGCATCAACTTAAAAAGCCATAACTGAAACACTGTAGTATCAAGTAAACACTATATTGAGTGGGTGTGAATTGTTTTTCTTTCTTAATCTGCAATCTACATATTTGGATTGATGAGTTCATGTCATATGCTGAGCTACAAACGACTTCCTGCTTTCTCTTTGTGGGCGAAAGTTAAACCTATTAAACTTTAACACTATATTAGTTGTAAAGGGGTGTGTGTATTATATGCTTTTATGTTATTTTTGGTTTGTTGAAATAAGTTTAAAAGCTGAGTTACAAACAACTTTCTAGTTACTGGATTTGAACGCAAGACCCTGGAATTGGAAACCAAGTTAAAGCTCCAATCCACTTTGCATTGAATTGTTATTCAAAAGCAAATTAATAAATCTACAACAGGGTAAAGGTAAAAATAGATTTAAATCTATAATAAGAGCAGCTCAGCTCAGTCGGTCCAAACCGGTGTGAGATTCAAGATTCAAAATTGTATTCATCCTGAGTAAAGAAATTTCATTTCTCGCATTGGAACAGTACAGTAGATAACTATATATGGTATATGGTAAAAGTGTTAAAATGACAGAACACAACAGCGAAAGAGCACCAAAAAAGCCAATGCTTTCACCTTTTAAAATTTAAGTTAAATTGCCTAATGCCCTGTGATAGGAAGGAGAGAAGATGGCGATTTGTGCAAGAGGCCGGTGGTCTAAACATCCGCTATGCTGAATTCTCTGTCCGGCAACTGTAGTATGCATTGGGTGAACTTACGTCTTCCAGAATACATTTGAACAGTTGCGATAAACGTTCCAGGTAGACAGAGTCCATCGACCTCTGGCTCTCGTCAACCATCTTCTCCACCCTCCTAATCACTCTACTGATCTTCTCTTTGTCGGTCAGTGTAGCATTACCACCCCACCCCGTGATACAGTATGTCCACACCCCACAGATAACATAATTATAAAAAATACACATAATTTCTTGTTGAACTTTGAAAGAATTCATCTTTCGCATACAGTAAAATCTAGAATTAATTGCGATGAACACTAGAGATCCTTTACTCCCCAATTCAGTTTCACCCACTCTTCCTTCTTGTGTTTTAGCTGGAGGGCTGAAATACAAGTTGCGATAGTTTTCGTCTTTCGAATGAAAAATTTAAGCTGTTGACCCCATGTGCAATATAAGCTCATGTTCACGTTAAATAATGCTGTACACTCTTCAAAGTGAGTAGGGGATTGTCTCCCACTGTATTGCCCAATTCACCACCACAAGGACCTTACTGGCAACAAGTCTTCAGGTTATCATTGGTGTGATTATATACTAACCAACAATACTCCTACTATTCCAACTCCTTTGAGAGAAAATGATGAAGGTTGTTATATTTTTTTTTTAGTTAACATGCCTTACCTTAGCAAGTAATTGTTCAATTTCCATAGACATTGTTTCAAACATTCTGTCGCTATTTGAGCCTCCAAGGAGAGGTGATGAATCCGAACTGTAAAGACATAAGCTTCATGTAATTAATAAAATACACATTATGTTACATGTAGTTTCTCTGATTGGCACAAATTTACAGTGATTCCTGATGATGACATAATTAATGTCAAAATATTGAATCCCAACACGATGGCGTGTATTTCAATACTTGGAGTATGTATTATACTTTCTTATCTGAGATTAATCAGTGGACCTTTCGGTTTACAGTTATACAGTATACAAATTGGATAATTTTGCTCTAAAGATAATTTTCACAAATTATAGGTATTAATTGTTATATGTATTAAATTAAAAATACTGCAGTTATTTAATTTGCTTTCATTGTGAAAAAAAGAGGATTAAGATGGTATGCAATCTTAAAATATTAAAAGAAAATGGGCCTAGATCATTGAAATTGAACAAATAAATTTTTTCGTGCAGTTTGAAATTTGGCAAATCTAAACAAACTGTGCATAACATACATGTGTACAAGTTAGTTATTGACAAATTGAAACACTGAGTTGATAGACTGTAATATCATGAATCATACTGTCGTCAACAATTTATGTGGAAGGGATCAAGGAATATTACTTTTTTATGCATTTCTTTTTTATACTGGGTAACCTGTTCAGTAGAAAGCCAGTGTTCTCCCACAAAGCTACCAAAAAACTATAATACTGTTCTATGAAATACAGCATGATAATTTAAAAGCATGTCATTTGAGTATATCGCCTGTTGTACTACATAAACGAGATCTACACATTTTTGAAGTTTTTACATGATTTTATTAAGTGAGATAAATGAAATCGGTGCTCCACAGATTCAAAACAGGAAATATTTCATAGCAACATGAGGGTCTGTTCTGGCCCAATTGGAGAGATAAATTATCCTGACAGGTTTATTCACTGAAAATGCTTTTTTCCTGCTGTACCTGTTGTAATCATGGTCATTTTTTTGTGAACTGTAACTTGTTCCGAGCTTGCTGAATGAAACCAACTTTAGGTCCAACTCATTCTCTAATTGACGAGCTTGCTTTCGAAGATCTGTGAAATGAAACAGTTATCAAAGCACTGACTGAGCGGTTCATCTCTCATTACTAGCCAACTTATTATCTGATAGCTACAGTTAGGTAGGCCAAGGATGGGTATGCACAGGTCTTGAGGCCGAAGCGAAAACAAACATTAATTCATGTTCATTTCTTACAAAAATATGCTGTGGATAATTTTGCAAAGATTTTTACACAAATCCAAATTGTTGATTGCTGGGGCCCCCAAAAAAAAAAAAAATTATTGATCGGTCCCCATTCGGATATATCTAGATTCGCCCCTGTTTGGACTCATTACCTTAAAATGTACTGCCCAGGCATGTCATAACAACGTCCACACAGCCAAAAAATATCACCATCAATCATATACAATAAAATGTTCAGGAAAATAACAATGTGTAATAATTATAATATTAATATTCAGATAGTAGGTAGGCCCCAGCCTACCCTAGGCCTACTAAGTAGTTGAAATCTGAATCTCATAGGTTGGTCTTGTTTGTAGGCCTGACCATAACTCAGGCTTGTACAGCAGACAGCCTAGGCCCTAGGCATAAATAATCACTTAGGCCTTTAAAGGGCGATAGTACGGTCTAATATGGTGGTAATTCACTTCCACGTCATCCCGGACCGTACGTGCCGAGGCCTAGCTAGGCCTAGGCAAACATAGGGTTGTCAATCAAAACTCTCTCCATGACTAAATAAATATGCCATGCTAAAGTCGGAGATTACAATAGTACGTAGTTTACAGTTTAAATGTTACACCACTTCTTAATATTAGTTCATCTACATTAACAATAGCATTTTGGAGACGATTTACCTTCCCATTTATTACCGTGCGCCATTACTAACTTATTTCTCGCCGTCGTACTTAGCGCCCTCAATTGTTTGTTGACAAAATCTCGGAGAAATCGACGTGACGACGTTAGTTCGTACTCTGCGGTTTATAATCAAGGAAGTGATCATACTTTGATTGTGTTTATCTGCTCTCCCATTCAATGGCCTTCAATATAAACAAACGAATCCTCTTCACTACTCGTGATCAATTTTATGGACACATGTGAAAAAATTCGCGCACCAGAATAAAGTCAGCTCCAGCTCCATTCAAGTAACATTTCTAACAGATTTGAGTACAGTGTAGGTCACAGGGGTTACAGTAAGTATCGTCTCATCTATTTTTACATTTGCGGTATGTAAAGTACACTGTCTGTATAATTTAACAAAAAAGGCCTACTCTAATTAGGCTCACGATCTTGGTATTCGTATATACCAGTGCAGATCAGAGGATTGCTTTACTGAAATAAATAGTTATTCAAATTGCAAATATATGAATTATTAATTAAGAAATGATTTACTTGCAGGCCCGTAGGCCTTTGCCACTGGACCACCAAATTTCAAAAAGTCCACTTTTTAAAACCTATTAGAAAGTATAATACATACTCCAAGTATTGAAATACACGCCATCGTGTTGGGATTCAATATTTCGACATTAATTATGTCATCATCAGGAATGAAAAAATTATCCATATTAGCATAAGAGACAGCAGTAGGCCTATGTATACATTTAGGTTCATTTAATTTCTTAAGTACATTGTTAACAACTTTTAAAGGGTACCCATTCCAAGACATAAACTTCCTGATGTTACTAAGCTCTGTTTGAAGTTTATCAGGAGTAAACCTATTAATTTCACTAAATCGCGAAATGCTATAGTATGCATTATATTTTTTTGCCCGCTCTTCTACCCATTGATTTTTAATAATGTGCTACCAAATATGTTGGAAATTATCAGCTCCAGTGATTGTAGGCCTACAGATGTAAAGGACATGAAAAATTACAATTTCACAGTGGAGGATTCAAGGGGAGAACCCCCTAAAATTATAAAAGAAATGGAGAAAAAAGAAAAATCATAATTAAAGAGTGCCATTTCTGGCCACTTTGAGGTACCATAATCATAAATTTTCCCCAACCATGGTGGGGCTGAGGTGGTATTGACCATCTGTCTGTGCAAGTTTTTCCCTTTTTTTTTTTCCCTATTTCTCCTGCTTTAGGTCCCTAGACAATACTCAAATGAATGAAAATTTAAATAGGATATTACAAATTATGGATTTTAGAAATCCATTAAAAAAGACCCTCAAAATGCTAATTTGTCGTAAGGTCCACTTCGGTTGCAAAACACACCTCCCCATCGAAAATCCTGCCTACGGGCCTGACTTGTATATTAAACTGATCCATTTGATCAAAAATGGACTGTGCATAACTGAAAAAGATTTTTTTTTCATGAAAAGTATATTTTAAATTATAATTATCATTACAGTAATACAGTCTCTCTGTTGTTCTTATGATGGTTTCCAAATTTAACTGTGTATTTGATTATTCTTGATATACACTTGTATATAGAGTACAACAGTTGTTTCGTCACAGTACCAGGTGGCGAGCTCTGGACGTTGGTTACCGTTCAGTGTGCCTGAATGACTTCATCATAATCTTAATGGTTTAGAATAGGCTTTCTGAAATAGGCATTTTAAAACCTAATAATTTACCATCAAAATGCACTAAAAACACGAAAAGCTCGCATTGTATTAGTTATCGAACACACATTTAATCATCAATTAACATTTACAAAGAAAAAATAAGATACAACTTTTTAATAATTACCTTAGAAATTGGGATCAATGGTTTGTGAAAAGAGAAAATGGCGTTGGTTGGACGCATTTTGTGTCGCCGATAACAATGGGGTAGTATCATGTGGTATCGTGATGTAACACTATAGTACTTTATACTGTATAAATAGTTTATGTTCTTTGATGTTGACTTTTGTCAAAAAAGATTGATTGATTGATACGTCAATACCTTTATAACTTTTGTTGATCATGTAATGAGTGATATAAATTGAGATGCATGGTCTTCTATAGCTTTTTAACTGATTCCAAATAAAACAGCAGTACTCAAACTATGGGTCGGCATTGATTCTGATTAAAATACTAATGAATGGGATTTACCTTTGACATTTCCTGTGGACAGCTGATTTGAATATGAGCTGTCCTTGAACAACAGAAGGACAGCCCAATTATTACCTGTGTACTTTACTAGTGTGTCAATTGAGTAATCACGTGGCAGTTAAAACAGACAGTAAAAATATTGGGCAATATCATTTTAGATGTCCACAGTAATGTGACCAGTAGCAGAACCAGGGGCCCATATGGAAAATAAGGGTACTCACACTTTTCCCACTCTGCCCCCTATGCATTCCTGTCACCTGCCAAACTCTTTTGACTTTGTGTGGAACCATTTATAAGAGATTAAAATGGGTAAAACTCTGGATATTCGACTTAAAAAATAGATAAAGGAAACCCCTGTCCTTCCCTTCAGACCATTAGTAGTCCTACACCCCTAGATCCACTCTCCCTGTTCTAGATGTGTCAGGTTGGTGTTTGGGGATGTGTATAAAATGTGTTGTATTAAAAATTAACATTTTTAATATAAAGTTAAATAGTATTTTCATATATCTGTGCTATGTTTGTAAGTGAGAACTTAATGATGCTGGTCTACTGAAATGTACATGAAATAATTAAACTCTATCAGCTGGAAAATTGCGCGAACAGCAGTCGGAGGCATTGACCATTACCCTGGAGGCATTTAAAAAAATATATATATTATTTTTAAAAAAATATTTTTTTTTTACACATCACAATTTAATGCATACCGGTAATTAAATTTGATATTTATGCTTGCTCCAAACCACTAAATATACTACTGTACTATACTACTATTTAGATAATAGTGTAAAAATGTTACTTGTTTGTGCTGGAGGCATTTGATCAAGATAAATTTCATGGTCGTAGACACAAAAATATTTTTTCCAGGCCTGCTGGTCACTTTGTTTAGTGTTATTAATCTATAATTATGTTATAGTATAATTGACAGTTAAAAAAAACTATTAATTGTCTGTACTGTAGAGCTTATCTCAATTGCTTTTACTTTCAGAAGAAGAAAACTATACCAATCCCCAAGTCTGAGGCTGTGACTCGAGCTACTGTATAGTGACTTGTAACATGCTATTCCATTGGCCAGACCACCAGAGAGTGGAACAAGGGGAAAAAAATCAAACATTTCAGTAATTAACTTTATTAATGAGAGAAAAGAGATCTAAATCAAAAGGAATTTCTATTTGATGTGTTAGAAATTCAAACTTCTTTTTATCAAATACAAGACTTAAAGTTTTAACTGTAAAAAATGGCATCACCAACTTTGGAGTTGATCTGTTGCAGAAACAGATCTTTTTCAAATCAATTTGAAAAGGTTGAGCATACTTACCAAATTACAGCAACTGTGTCTTCGGTCTTGAGCATTGCTGGAGCTACGTACACTCTGTTGCCTAGAAGAGTCGGCGGCATTTTTCGCAGACGAATGATAGAAGGCAGGCAGCATTCCATCATACAGTTATTAGCTTTTGCGGATTTAATGGCATGTTTTGGTAAGTAGTTATGGCTCTTTTTATGAAGTGTTCTTTACGATACGATACAATGAACTTTATTGCAATTTTTATCATATAAAAAAACAATTCAAATTGAAGTTTAACGAAAGGAAGCATACAAGTAAATTTTGAATCCATTCTACATCTAATCAATAATGTTAGTAATTAATAGTTTATCTTACAAAAGGAAAAGCATACCTAATTATTTGGTTATTCAAAGGAACTTCAAATTTATAAAGTTCTACTTTTCCCAATTCAATTCAATTCCTTCTTTATTCCACAAATTTCACAAAGAAATATACATACACCTTTTTATAAGAACACATTTTATAAGAATGCTGAGGCTGAAATTGCTTAAAAATTAAGAACAAAATAAGAACAAAATTGAGGCTGAGGTAAAATATCAAATGAGGTTTTTATGGAAAAAAACCGTAAATAAATCCCAAGAAATCAGGCTAGTCGCATAGAGTAAAGTATTAATTAAGGTTTAAAAGGGTTATATCAACATTATATCTACGCCATTAATGTCATCAAATGTTCTACCATGGAATGACACAAAATACTCGGTTAAGCTTGTGATGAAGTTTTCTCCTCAAGCCAGCCAATTTCATACAGTCCCCGTATATTTGTGCCAGCAATAAGCTCATTGATTGTACGGTACGGCGTAAAATAACAGCAAAATAAGAACATTTTGAGCCTAAAATTGGCCAAATAATAAGAACACTGAGCCTAGGCAAAAAAAAGGGTATTAAATTTCATTTTCTTTTCATATGTGAAATGGGAATGTTATAAATGCTTTAAATTAATATAATTAGGAAGAAATGTACATATCTTATTTTTGGAGATTTAAAGGCAGAAGTTGGTGTAATGAAAATAAAGAAAAACTTTTATTCTTTTCTGAAATTTCCATAGTTTCATGGCAGCAGGTTTGCTAATTTGGTGGGGGGGGGGGGTGCTCCCCACACACCCCCTACTGTAGACACGCCACTGATTTCATGTATGTACTAGTTATAATAATTTGGGTTTTTTGTTAGATTAATATTTTTTTTTTTTAAATACTATTTACTTTTTTTTACAGGCATAATTTGCTTTGAGGTTTTCTTGCTTTGTAAAGGAAATCACCTTACAAATGATGATGACAATGACTCCGACCGTGGTTTATGTTTGTTTTTCACAGTAAGTGTTGAAAACTTACAATGTTACTCAATTTATCTCATAAATATGTGCCCACTATTTTTTTTTGATTGAAGTTTAAAATCTGCTATGCTAGTATGGAGAAAAGCATGTGATGCAAACTACATGATTAGATAGGTAACCAGCAAACAGAAATGATAACAAAGTAACAACTTAAAAAAAACAATGGGATCTTGTTGAATATAAGTTTAGAGTTATATATAAATATCATTTAGTGTGTAAAGAAAGTTCACTAGATAGAAAGATTTTTACAATGATCACATGAAATTTATGGAAGATTTTTATTTATCAATCTAGAAATCAGCTTAAATTTATCTAAAGCCTCAATCGCACTGGATTTATTTCAGTAAAAGTAACAGTCTTGTCGGTAAGTTTGACCAAAAAAATCCAGTGCGGATAGTCCCGCTCGGTTAACTTGACTGTCGCCACCGGTTAGTTTTCGGGAGTGAAATTTACTCAGGAATTCCTACCGAGCTACTTTGACCGGCCTGGAAAATCCAATGCGAACAGCCACAGGTCGGTTAAATTAACCGAATCCCGAGCCTCATTGTTCATTGGATGACCTTTATCGCTCTGTGAAGCACTGGCGCATGCGTATAACTAGTTGACCTGCTTCTTCTCATTGTTTTGGTTTATTGATGTGCATTTCGATTTTCGCGCAAATTTTATACTATACTGTGCTGTATTGATCGTACAAATATATCGTACTATTTGACTAGTTGATCACAAACCATTATTTTCTAACGTGTTACTTTCTCTTAAATAGTAGTATGGCATGGAATGACATTTTTCTTGATTTTTTAGGCCTTGCTAGGCCTGAAATATCGGAAGGAGAAATTCTAGGCTCTCATGATGTTGGCCTAG